TAATCTTAGAGCCGGACGTTGACATTATAATGCAGCCACTGCCAATTTTAGATCGTCGACGAATAAAAGTAAATGAATTTCAATTTATTTCTAAACTACTAAAAAGAACATAAGCAAAAGATGACTTTTTGAATCAGTAATATTTAACTTTAAAATTTACATTCATTGGATATATAGGTAACGACTTGATTTAACTTAACACATTTTTGCGAAATTGACCCTACTGGTAAATACTCTATGGCTTAATAAATCAATCGTATAGACCACCGCAAGGTACTTAATAATTCCTGCGATATTAATTCACTTACTAAAATGACAAGACTGCGGTATATCCCGTCTTATAATCCTAACTAAAAAGTGTGAAATAAAAATGATAAATTTAAAAAATCAAAAAACCCGACAGCTTAAATATTACTTGAAATAAAAACTGAAAATAAAAAAACAAGTCCAGTAGGTAGTCCATAATTCTGTTAAGTAAGGAACAAAGCTACTTTAACAGTCGGGACCCATTATTGAAAATTTTTATCTATACATGAATATCTAATGGGTCCCGAATGTTAAAGTAGCTTTGTTCCTTAACAGAATTATAGACTACCTACTGCACTTGTTTTTTTTATTTTCAGTTTTTATTTCAAGTAATATTTAAGCTGTCGGGTTTTTTGATTTTTTAAATTTATATTTTTTTTTAGATACTATTTTTTATCGAAATCGATTTAGAAGCCAATTCCAAAATAAGTTTATTTCAAGGTGTGCGTTATTTCCAACGTTATACCCATATACACGTTGTATAATGTTACACCCTTCCGGACACATCTATTCGTATTAACGGTACTTAGCTAAAAATAAATGTTAGATACATAGAAAAGAAATTTTTACCTACGCTGGTTTTAAGCTGATTTATTAACCATCTTTTCGTGAATGAATGCCACTGTAAGTTGACTAATATTGGTAACGATAATAGATTGACTTTACAGTGGATTAAAGGACACAGCAGCTCAAGGGGTAACGATGCGGCGGACTGCTTTGCCAGGGAAGGTTCCAGCAGGACGGCCATTGGTCCGGAGCCTATTGTACACATACCCTATCGACAGCTGCGAACCTGGATAAGGGAGCGCTGTCAACGGCAACACGACGAATACTGGATAAAACTCACGGACTGCAGGCAAGCTAGGGAAGCCGTTCCCAAGGTAAACCTGCAGCTAACACGTAAGTTAATCAGACTTCCAAGACAAGCCCTAAAACAAATCGTGGGTATACTCATGGGTCACGGCTACTTCAACAAACACCTTTGTAATATAGGTATTTCTGTTAGCCCTCTGTGCAGAGCCTGTCTGGAGGACGAGGAGACGAGCGTCCATGTGCTGCTGGCGTGCAGGGGCGTTGCAAGACAAAGGACTTCTCTAATGGGAAGCCCGAAGACAATAGTAGAGGCCTGCAGTAACATTCCGGGTCTGCTGAGCTTTCTGGAGGAGCTGGGTTGGCAGGACTGGTGCCAATCCCCACGCAAAATAGGCACTGGGTGTCGAGTTGCGGAAACAGCCCACTAACCATCTTTTCGTGTTTTTTTTATTATTGCTCAACCATTAACACATATTTTTGCTATCGACCGTTGAAACCACAGAACATAGAAAGAGGTTGAAACTTAAAACACAAAGTGGCTGATAGATGTGTCCGGAAATGTAATTTATATATTTCTAGGGAAGACTAAAAGCTAATTTAATAATGTCACAAAAGTGATAGCACCAACTCAATTCATAGTTTAAAGTTTATTGCCGTCTCTCAGTGCGGGACTTGCAATTTTTACTCTAAAATTGCATCTTTGATACTCGTTGGCTGAGTATCAGATCTATTAACTAAACCTAATAATTTATGATTTTCTAGGTGATATACTCCAAAGCGTTAGTTAGCCATATTGGAGCGATACGCTCTCAGTTTATTTCATTTCGAATCTTTACATACTTGGCGATTCATATTGTAGTCCGCATTTGGATCAGGGAGAAAACCATTGTCATTATTCACATTTAAAAAAACTAGAGATTTGTGAAAATAAAAAACTTATTTTTATATTTAAACATTTATTACTAGGAAGACAAAAAGTGTAAATTCTTACAAACTTGCCTGCAGTACCTATATTTTCGAGCGCTGCCAATATTATTATGATGAAAAAATATAACATCAAACAAGGGCGAAACTTACACACTAAAGTTTATAGTTAACAAAATTTCAACGAAACAAAGATAAAGAATTTGTACTTAAATCGTATGGCACCGTAAAAAAATAACAAAACAGTATACAATAGTAAAATTAAAGTATGCATAAACAGCGGCAAACTTCTTAAGTAAGTAAGATCATGGACAAACAGCTTGCTTATTAAACGTTTTTGTATGTAAAACTGCTACTGCGCAGCCTTACTCAAGATTTTTGCCGGAATGTATGCCTACCTAGATACAATCAACATCACAATCGGTTAGAAAATCCCTTACAGCTTCTCCAATAGATTTTAACCTTAATTAATTTGACATACAGTTCAAATTCTATATTGTGGGAACCTCATGTGATATTTATTGCATAGATCAGGAGGCTTACTCTATTTTAACGAAAAACGAAATTTCGATCCAATTTTCGCACATTCGAACGTCGTCGTCCGTTCGTCCGAAAATAGTTTGACTATTAAATTCTCCAACCCTCTAATTGGGATCTGACAAAATTCGTGAGACACCTGGTGTTCAATTTTGGAACTAATACCGGGGTGCATCGCTCATCAAAACACATAAGTTATCATTAGTGTCATTAGTACTTTTGAGAAATTAAACAAAAAATGACGGAAGAATTAGGAATATTTAACCCTCGCAAGATTTCTAAAAAAAGAATAAAGTGTTGTGTGTATGGATGTGGAAGCAGTTTTCAAAAAAACCGTGAATTAACGTTTCATAAGTTTCCTAAAAAAAATGCGCGTTGTGTTTACATCAAAAATTATTTTGGTCAAATGGAAAAAGTGGACCAATTCACAGCATGGAAGAACGCTTTGAAGATTGACTGTAAAATAAATCCTCACATGAAAGTGTGTTCATTGCATTTTCTGAAAGACGACTATATATTACCAGGTGAGTCAAATTCGTTTTTTGAGGTTAAGCATGTGTGAAGTAGCATTTTACAAGATCTCATTATTATTCCACTAAGAAAAGAATGGGACGGCAACAACATTAAAATGAAAGAGTTTCCTTGGTTTAGTTACCACAATTCAATAAATGTTTGTGTATACCACAATTCAATAAATGTTTCGCAGCTACCAGTCGTTCACCCTCTCGAAAATTGCGATTACTGGGCGTTGAACCGGACCATTCACAAATATCATTAATTGTTAAGACTATCATTATCTACCACTAATATTGATATTTAACTATTTTACGGTATTTCATCACGGTTTGACTAGGCAAATGCACCCCCGTCGGCGCCATATTGAATAGGCCACGCCTCCATGTCAGATCCCAATTCACAAAACTTTCGAACGAAAAGTTGAATTTGACAGATAATGGTTCGAAATTTTAACTTAAAATTGACAGAATGAAAAGTGTTACCTTTTCATTGTATCTTGTTTTGGGATTTTTGGTTTAATTTAGCCTCAAATCACTGCTAGAGTATTTTTAATTATGGTTGCTTAGCGTGAGGAAAATTTTTAGCCTGTTAAATTAAGTTTTTTTTTAATTATTTTTTGTATTTCCAAAGTAAATTCCAATACTTCAAAGTATTAAACGACCAATTTAGGTTCACATACAATCGATTGTATCAACTGTACAAATTAGTCGGCTAAAACTGTCAATGAAGGTTGTTTCAATGTCAACAAATTTTTTGTCGTATAGTAATTCTGTTTCCAAGCAAAAAAAAGTAGATAATCTAAAAAATGGAGATAAAAATAACTCATAAACATGACTCATTCCATTCGTTCACAAAAATTGTTTATGATACCAAACTTTATGTGCGTGTTCGAAAATGAAATAGAGTAGAGTCACTGGCGAAATTTCGTTAAAAAATCGTTCTTAACCGAAATTTCGTTTCGAAGAGAGAGAGTAAAGATCCTGGCCACTTGGTGGATACAATTTGGTATTGACAATGCCTTTAAGTAAACCACAAAAGCACTATTGCTTTAATAGTGAATCCATGTTATGGCCTTGGCTTAAGCTTTTATTAATAAAATAGAGATTCATAAACAGGAATAATGTCCATAAGTAATATTTAATCCAAATGGTGATTTTAAGAGAAAACTAAGAGGAATAGATACTTCAACTCCCTTATTAACAAACAAACAATAAGTTTAGACTAATCACGATTTTTTTTGTAAATATCACACTAATACTATTTGTAATTCTTCGATCAATAATCAAACAATATTATAGATAGTCAGCGCGTAGAATCCGTTTCGGTAAATAAAGCCTCACTTGAGGCGTGAGATCTTATTTTCGTTAGGTTAATACACAGCCAATGGGTCGATCGGTAAAAGGCCGTATGTACGAAATAACATTTCGTTATTTGTAACTTTATTCCTTTGTGACATGGTTGTTATTAGGTTTAACTTAAACTGTTTTAAAACATTTGTATTTGTTCATTGGGGATCGAATGCAGCTGTATGTATGTACTGACGCGGACAGTTTTTAGCTTTGATTTTGTATGCAACCCGTTATCTATAGAATAGGGGTGATGACGGGGTACAGTAAACGAAATTCTATTTAGTCCGTCAGTTAGATGATCAAAAAATAATGGACACGTATTTTTTCTTTCGGCAATCAATCAAAAAATGACAAAGTTATAGCGCTTCAAAGTTCGTGATGTCACTTTTAAGTGAAAATTGTACCAAAACGTGATTTCATGCGACTTTTCAAATCAATATATCTCTCCAATGTTTATATTATGTGGAAAAAGGAAAAATACGTGTCGACTACTATTTAATAATTTACCTGATAAACCAAGAAAAAAAAATAGTCATCATCCCTATTGTTGATCAAAGTTGTAATTCAATAAACAGAGACAAAACATGGAGTAACTAATCCGAGCTTATTCTTCGTTTGTTTATAAGGAGGTTAATAACACTATATAATTATAAACGATAGGATTCGAAATTTCAGAATAATGTGCCTCATTTTAAAAAGCTACAGCTTTAAAGCAATTTGTTGTGTACCTACTTATTATTTTAAATTTCATACTGATGAAATTAAAAAGGTCTTATTCTACATTAAGTACTAACATTTATAAATCATAGACTACCCTAATATCCGGTTTGTTGCATTAAAACTTCATTATAAATTAAGTAATTGCATTTCGGTTTCAATGATTTTAGCACCATTCTCTTATATAATGTTTATAGATTTCGTTGAATATATTCTGTTTAAAAACTACAAGTTTTCTCTGTTTTATTAAATGTAAGTAAGAACATTTGTTACTTTTGGGCCACTTGCGACCAGACTGGTCATATTCTTGTTTGTTACCTTTTTATTATAAAAAATATAATCATTTATAGAAATAATATTGGCTATTACTCCTGGTCCCACCAACATGTCCCCCTGGTGGGTCCACGGGTCCGAGTGGACGAACTGTATATTTGATGGCTGTCTTTAGTGCGGTGGGACCATGGTAAAAATTAATTACCCGTAGACCCATTGTCGAACACTGTTTAGAAGGGTGGGACAACGGGTATAAACAAATTACCCATGGACCTACCAGAGAAGCATGTTGGTGGGATCAATGGTAATAGCCCAACATTATATTCAAGTGAATAAGGATATGAGTCAATAGTATTATGTTTTGTCGACAGCACTTTAAAAGCTTTTTTTACCTGTATCACTGTATATAATGCAAGTTTTCAATAATGTCCTTTAGTACACTGTAATAAATGTCAAATTTGTTAGTTCCGTACAGCTATTCTAGAAGCGGTGATGTTAATCACACCAATCACAGACTAAAACGTGGTTGTACTAATTTGCAGTGTCTTAAACAGAATTTTTCATGTAAAAAACCGTAACAATGTATTTTCAACAAACAATTGTGATAAAAACCGTGTTTAACAATTTTCATTGTAAATAATTATACTGTTTTTTATATTTATGTTAAGCATTTAATTGCTTGTAATTCTAAATCTATAGAAGTAAAAGAATGAATTAATTTTAAAAGGAAACTGAAAATATATTCTGACAAGTGTCATTAGAGAAATTTGCGATTCAATGACTACGCAAGACGTTCTGTCTATCCCTTTCGCACATGCTATCCTAAGTAACGTCCGAGAGAGACAGCGTGTCTTGTGAGCGATTCCTATCTTTAACGACAAGAGTTGTACACATTATTAGGACAGTACAAATTACCACAACCACCAATACTAAGATGTTATAATGCTTACACCAAAATAAATATGGATACATCATACACAACCTAATACAAATATCTTTCATAATAGACTAGTGCAGAGTCAATAAAGAAATTAATTATAAAACATAGTGAATACAAAAAAAAGTTGAGTTGAGGTCTTCTTTCACCAATGGTCAGATCATAGACAAAACAGTTACTTTTTACTTAACTAAGATTAAAGCTGAGGAATCCGCAAAAAGCTTATTGCAGATTGGATGTGGAGAACTTATCGGGCTTACTTATATATCGGGTTTTATAAGACGTTTGCATGGTGAATACGTTATTAAGTGTGCTCCTATTTACAATATATAATAATCATTTAGTAATAAATTTAGGTTTTATTGACCTCTTTGAATGTCAAACATACAACATTGGAGTCAAAGAAATTTCGCGTTATCGAAAAAAAAGGTAAATAATTCTAAAGGTAAAGAATGCGTTTCGCTTCTATTTATAATGTAACTACTGATTTTATCATACTAGAACAAGAACTGGATACATCAATGAACAGAAGTTTCATTATTTAGGATGGAACGATACGTAAGTTTTTGGTGTTTTAAAAATTTACAACAAAAGAGGTCACTGACGCGCCAGCCGTTCAGTAATAGTATAAGATTTCGTTTGGCCACTAATCATAATACAACAAATGATCAAACTGTTACACAAGTTAAAAATAATTTCCTTTAAACCGATTACAATATAACCACAAAATAGATAGCACAGAAGGTAATCTCATGTATGTACTTCATTTTAATTCCTACGCTCGGCGACCGCGCCAGAATGATCAACTATGGCTTGTCCACCAAAAATGTGGAAGTTGTGGCTACTAGTTTGATTTATTGTTGAGAATGAAACAGAAATAATGGAAATATTAAACAATATTAATTAATGTATTTACAATTCAACGATAATAACGTACATACGTTCATATAAAAAAGGCAATTAACCGTTTTATGATGAATTTAAATGACCGTCTACTGAAGAATTACAATAACTACTTTTGTTAATCCATTTTTGTAAAAATAAGTTCAGACGCGTGTCTCAAGCTAATGGAACTCGCGGCACTAGTCCCAAGTGGTATCGTCGCCGTGAGCGATGTCAATGTGTGCTTTGCCCGAGCGCACTTTGTATGTAGATTATCTTCTGTACTATCTATTTTGTGTTATAACCGCGTTAGACACGACGGTGTTCGGAGAAACTTATTTTTTGTTTCATTTCTTTTTCTCTACAAAAATATCGAACGATGTTTTCACCGATTTTCATCAACCAGACTGTGACAGATTGTCTATCTTGTAACGATTACACAACGGAATCAATCTTGAAGACACTTAAATCGTTCGCAATTACTTATGTAATTCGTTTTGCGATCTGCCGAGTGCCTCTAAGTTGTTATGGTGCGAATCTATTCTGTTTATGTTGGCTTTGAACTCATCTCGTGGTGTTTTTTGATGGATGGGTGTACTGGGAACGAGTGTGTCGGTAGATCCGGTATTTTCTGTTGTATCTCTCTCCGATTGTAGGAAGTCCTCTTGGTTGCCGTTGACATGCTTCGCCTTGAAGTCGGGATACGATAGGTCGAAATTCGATATCGTTTTCGGACTGGATTTTTCGAGACCGGTTGCGTGAGTTTCCAATGTTGCAAGTAGTTCGTTCTCTGTTATGAATTTCGCAAAAGTATATTTATGAATCCATACTTTAATACTGATTTTTGTAAATGAGAAAGTAACTGTTCATCTGTTCTGTTCCACGCTTGAGATTGAACGAATTTTGATGAACTTTGAAAAAGGGATCTCTGAGAAGAGCACTTTTTGTCCCTAAAAGGTTCTTTGGGTATATGTTAAAGGTTATTGTTTGAAATACCCTGTTATGGAAATATTACTTACTGCGTATTTAAATTAATTTCATTCTTAACGTAAAATATTTCGTTTGCAAGAATTCGGAAGCGGCTAAGGTAATCTCAAGTTATTTCAGTAATTAATAATGAATTATACTTACAAATTCATATTTTTATATGCAATTTAGTCTTCCTCAAATCGAATAATCTATTCTTTAGGAATTAGGTAAGAGATAACTTGCCATGGCAAACCGGAGGAAAAGCATAAGTTCTGAATTTTAATGATAATCGCCACCTTACAAAAGATCACAGTGAAATTGGATTACCTTTTGGTAGTGTTGTTTTTGTGGGCGTGTTAGTTTCCAGGGGGCCATTCGCCTAATGAAAATGCTTTGGAAAACGTTAACGCTTTCGATTTTATTTTGTTATTTCTGACCGCCGAAGGTTTTCAAATACCTCACGCTCATTTTTTTTAATATTATTATTACCAATGCAAAAGAAAAAAAAAGAGCGCGAGGCATTTGAAAACCTCAGGCGGCTAGAAATAATAAATAGGAATCGTAAGCGTTAGCGTTTTCTTAAGCATTTCCGTTAGACGAATGGCCCCCAGGTCTCCACGAAGAAGGGGGTGGGATTAGAGTAGGCAAAAGCGAGAGTAATACTCTATCGCAACAGTCTTTAAATTATGGTGACCGTTTCTTTCAGGCGGGCCTGTTTTATATTGTTTTAAACTATCATGGTCACATTATCACTATTATACTTTACTTATCTACTTAAATAAACGAATATTATATATGCGAAACTTTATATGTCTGTCTGTATGTCTCCTGACACTCAAACCTCTGAACCGATTTAAGTGAAATTTGGTATAGATATAGCTCGAGTCCCGGGAAAGGACATGCGATAGCTTTTATCCTAGAAATCACCATTAAAGGGATTTACACCATCATAATATGTATGAGAAGCCAATTTTTCCATACAGACGAAGTCGCCGGCAGCCACTAGTATAAAATAAATACATAATTGTAAGGGCTATATAAAATATGATTATGTAACTTGTATAGCTTTACCTGTGGCTTCGCTCGTTGGCTGTCGGTCCTTTTCAGTGTTGTCTTTCATATCCTTGGGCAGGGAAGAGGCTCGTTCACCTGGCCCACTCATCATATTCAAGACCCTATTATAATGAACTCTCATTATTAAACTGAAATAAGGTTACAATGTAGAGAAATATACAAATTTTACCATATATATTTACTAGTGACCGGCCAACCGTCGCAAGCGCCGATGTCGTTAACATGACTCCACAGTTTATACTTAACGACCGGACGAATACATGGTTTAAGAGGGGAGTCGGGCAGTGGTTTTTCTCGACTGATGCCTCCTTGATTTGTATCACAAAGGGAATTGATTGTTATATATAAAATATAATTTTACTCATTCTATGCTCCTATGTCTTCCGTTTTACGATAACTTGTGTTTTAAAGAAATAAGAAGTCCTCAGAAATGCCAAAAATAAATAAATTGTTATCACCACTTAAGACGTCTGAAGTGTGGAGATTTAATAAGCATTTTTGACGACCTCCGTGGCCGAGTGGTTTATACGCCGGGTTTCATGGCGTCGCCGACTCGAGAGGTCCCGGGTTCGAATCCCGGTGGGGGCAGATGTTTGTGTGATGAATACGAGCATTTGTACACCAGTCATGGATGTTTAATATGTATTTCATATAAATATACTTATATATGTATAATATATGTATTCTATTCGTTACCCTAGTATCCCATAACACAAGGCTTTACAGTGCTTACTTTGGGGCTAGGCTAATTGGTGTGAGTGTTGGAAATATTTATTATTTATTTATTTACAAAAAAAGGCATAGAATAACTACATACTGATATCGATTCTGGCATGATTCTCTAAAGCTAAACATAAACTTGACAACAGTGCATCCCTATCATTCTATATGCAGAATGAAAAGGAGAGACTGATGTTAAATTTAGTTTTAAGTTTAGAGAATCACGCCAGAATCGACACCATTATTCTATGGGTAAAATAAATTTTACATAAATCTGATTTTGGAGGAGGAACTCGACGAGACTCGTACACAATTTTCAGCTTTAACGTATACCTATCGCACGGTATTTACGTGACAGCAATAGTTTTTTTGAAATATCTATTTATGAAAAGTCTCTCAGCTCGCATCCGCTCTTAAAATCGTGCCTAGACCCGGCGGAGAACCGTTTAGTAAACTGTGCCCTTATCCGAAGCGAAGAGGTCGCGGGTCGCTTATAAATATTTGAGTAAAACTTGTATATTATACATATATGTATTAAACCGTGCCAAGATCCGGGGTTCCTTTCGTTAACAAGTGCCCGAAAAGTACAGTTTTTGTTCTCAGGCATGTATTATACATAAAAACCTTTTTGAATCAATCTATCTATTGCGGAAAACAACATTAAAATCCACTGAGTAATTTAAAAGATCTAAAACGTACAGACAACGGGTGCGGATTTGTTTTATACTATGTAAGATGAAATCCTAGCAAAGTATATTATAAAGTCATGTAACAAAGTTAAATGATTCGATCACTATCTTATTTAATAAATCACTGGTGACGATACGCAGCGTCATTGGATTACGTAACGAAATTTCGCCGAGACTAGTTTTTTGTAAACATTTAACATAGATTATGTAATAGATTGAAAATAACTAAGTTTACCTTATTTTGGCAAAGAGGAGTTCAGTACCGCAGTATTTAATGTTAGCGAAGTTAAGCAACTTTCGCAATAGTCAGTCATAGGATGGGTGACTAAAAATGTATTGTCTCGAGATCCTCCATGCTTAAGCCGTTGGTCCCAATTGCATCTGCTGTGGTTAGCACCCACCACTCACACAGGACCCGTGCATTTGTCCACGAGGTCAAACTAATTTTTCCAACAGTAATTATTTTTCCAGGTGTTCAAATTATCCACGTGGTCAAACTGATTTCTCCAACAGGAATTATTTTTCCAGGTGTTCAAATTTTCCACGTGGTCAAACTGTGTAGAACTGATTTGTCCAACAGGAATTATTGTTCCAGGTGTTCAAATCATCCACGTAGTCAAACTGAGTAGTCGAAGTAATTTGTCCAACAGGAATATTTTTTCTAGATAGTCAAATTGTCTTTCACGACGGGAGTATATGAGCAGAGATCAATTATATTATTCCTGTTGGACAAACTAGTTTGACCACGATAAAGATGCGGGACATTGCATCCATAGAGAAGGCCCATACTCGAGCAGTGGGGACATTGGATAGATAGATATACTTATTGCGGAGTTTGATGGCTCAGGTGGTTAGCACATTCGGCGTGCGCTTTATTGGATGGGTGACCAAAAACTTATTTTCTCGAACTCCTCCGTGCTTCGCAAGACACGTTAAGCCGTGGGTCCCGGCTACATCTGCAGTCATTACCACCCACCAATTCGCACTGGGCCCGCGTGGTGGGTCACGGCCAAGTCTCCCTATTTTAAATAGTAGAGTGGTACCTCGGTAATGGGGACATTAAAATATATAGACTGATGAATTTTAAAAGAAGTTTACCTTTTTATTGCCTCCTGAGGTGCGGTAAAAATAAATTTTTATTTTAACATATGTATGTCTTGCAAGTGGAATTTGACAAATACATTATTTATTAATTTCATGCACGTAAAATATAGATATTGGTAGTAATCTTAAATATTCATTTCCATATTGACTGGTATAAGCACCACTCCTGTAGTCCCGCTACAAAAATTACTTTGGTCTTAACAGCTGGTGACGCATTATATTTGGTGTCTTTTCTGGTAGCTATGTGTCGTATGAAGTAAGTCTTAATACAAAGCTTTTAACAAAAAATTTATACAATGTATTCATTTTTTGTTCACACCTACATACAAATACATGTATAAAACGTATACAATACCTAAAGAAAAGTTTACTAAAAAAAAAATCCACGCGGACCAGGCAGCGGACGGGACTCGAACCCGCATCCTTCGCTATCCGGGCGAATGCACTGACCATTATGCTACCATGGCCCTTTTAGCAGCGTCGAAATTTTCCTAGCCTTAAGCTGCAAGGCAGCGCCATCTCTTCGCATTGTAGGTAACCCACAATGTCAAATGAATACTTTTTCAAGTATTAAACATTTGAAAGAAGAAATAGCAATTATAGTTATGATTTTATTTATTTTTTAAGCATTTAACTGCTAGATGTTTAAATCTAAAGAAAAGTTTACTAGAAAAAAAAAATCTAGTAAACTTTTCTTTAGATTTAAACATCTAGCAGTTAAATGCTTAAAAAATAAATAAAATCATAAGTATACAATTCCTGCATCAAACGTGTTGGATAAACAAAAAGATGGGCGGATGGTATAATATAGTGTAATATACTCGCCTGGAGTGTCCCAGGTCCCCGTAGGGCGGGCGGGGGGCGGGCGGGGCGCGGCAACACTCCCCCTCCACCGCCCACCCCTCCGCTATCAACATGCCGCCTATGTCCACCTCACCCTCTGGGACAATAACACCAGTGCTAATACAACTCTCGTTAAACAATTAACATACCAATGTGTCCGTTCGCGTACATATGACTACGCGGATGGTGATTGAAAAGAAATGCTTTAGAGGCTTCTGCCTATTTGCTGCCTACCAATAGGCGTACGTAAACGGACACATTGTAGTTGCATTTCCGCGAAACAATATCGAATTCGTTTTGTTAAAATCTATCTCAATACGCCTCAAATGTCAAGAAGTTTTGTATGGAAGATTTTAAATCACGTTAGGTCCGTTGTGGCGCTTTTCAAATTTCCATACGAAAGCAACGATGTTTAATCTAATATATAAAATTCTCGTGTCGCGGTATTTGTGGTTAAACTCCTCCGAAACGGCTTTCCCGATTCTCATGAAATTTTGTGTGCATATTGGGTAGGTCTGAGAATCGAACAACATCTATTTTCATCCCCTAAATGTTAAGGGTAATCCACCCCTAAATTTCTTTTTCAATTTTAGATAATTTTTTTTTAATATTTTTTATGATACATCATACAAAATTACATACAACCCAAAATTTTCACTCGTCTACCACCAACCCCTATTTTTTTATGGCGGTACGAAGTTTGCTGGGACATCTAGTACCCTATATAAAACATTACGAACAAAATTGTGGCCGAAACGGAAAACGGGCACGGAGCTCCGTATTACGTGTCACAGAGAACGGAGGAGTCAGACAAATCATAAGATTGTCAATATCGAGTGATCACGATACTCGGTAATGGGAAGAATGATCGGCCGACAATGTTTACGACACTAGTTTCGCTAGTTACAAAAGCAAACGCCTTATATTTTTCACAGCCACTGCTGAAAATGTATGTTTTTATTCGTGACAATGCGATTACTCTCCACGCGCGAACATTTATTTCACAAAATAAAACATACACGTAAGATAATTGCGTAGTCAACAACAATATAAGGCATTATTTGAAAATTCACCATTAATGCATATCAAATAAGATATTAATTTAAACGCATGCGTCAAACAGTAATAACTGTTCGAAATGCAAGCTCGTATAATTTTACGACTTATTGCTATAGGCGGATGACTAAAGACTTTACTCCTATACTATACTATATCGTAATTCTGAATGCGCTGTTTGCAATATTACACTGGGAAGACGTGCATTAGTAGAGAACAGTCAATCCTTAAACAGGATAGGCACCATCCCGCACTTCTTGCTGAGTTTATCATGCTACAAGCAGCTAAAAACAGATGTTTTTGAGTATAGGAACTTTCGCAGGTATAATATAATTATGAACATACTAAACGGAAACATAGCATTGTCAGTTGACAATGCTAAGCTAAGGTCTGACCCAGACCTTTTATGTGCTACCGATGTTAATGATGAAGCTGTTGCAAAATTTTATGGTGATGCTAATGCGATAATTGCTGAATGCACGCCGCTGGTTAAACAACGCTATAGAAAAAATCCTAAGTGGTTTAGCCCAGCATTGAGTCGCTGTTTGCGAGAAAAAAATAAGTATCACACATGTTTTAAAATATATAAAAATCTTCTAAGAAGCTAATGAAAAAATTCTATTCGGATTACAGTAATTCCATCGAAAATGGTTTAAATATACGTTACAGTAACGTATTTTTGTCTCATATAAACATGAAAAAGCGTAATCAGTCATCATTGCCACAAAACATGATTTTTAATAGCAAGGAAGCTTCGGGCTGTGTTGGTATATGTCACCTTTTTTCTGAATACTTTGGTTCCGTATATTAAGACTATGAACGCGACTCTCCGAAGACATCCAGTAAAACAAAGGTAAGTAACCTCCTACTGGTTATCTGGAATTATACTCAACGAGCGTGAAGTATTAGATAAACTAAAACATCTTGATTAGAATAAGGGCTCTGGCCCTGACAAAATACCACCAATCTTTTCAAATGTCGCGTATGTTGACTTTCAAGGACTTGAGCGTATATTTTGATGACCAACCGATTTCCGATGTCACTATGACGCAATTATAAAGAAATCGAAAAGAAGGCTTGGTTTTGTAATAGGGCAAACTAAACATCTCAAAAACCCAAAGAGCTTAATCACCCTTTTCAACTGTCTTATACGCAGTGCCCTGTAATATGGCTCAACTATATGGGACCCTTTTTACGCGGTGCACTCAGACCGAATTGAGTCCATTCATTCTAAGTTTATGCCCTTGCTAAGTGCCCGTTGTGGTAATAAACGAATTCTACGTTCATATGGACGTAGGTTGAAACACTTCAATTCTCTCCCTTACCGCCGGTGTGAATTGGACTTAGTTTTCATCCATAAAATAGTATATTCTGTTCTTATCTGCCCCGATTTGCTTTATTAAATAAAATTGCATTAAATTAACTAACATTGATTAGAAACCTTTCAAAAAACCGATACTCTACGTATTATAAGCATTTTTTTCTGGAGCTCAATGGCATGTTTTCCTACTTCGCAATGGTCCGAGCGTCACTGTGAAACAAGAAGTGCTTGAGTCGTGTTCAAGCACTTCTTTATTGGGACACATTTTGAGTGCACGTGGCGTATCTAGGAATATAAAATACCATTGTACAAAACTTCTAGACATTTGACGCGTATCGAGATCGAATGCAACTATTCGAATTTGATATTGGTTCGTGCTGAGGGTGATGAATGACGAATTCGTCCACGTTGGACAATTTGCAATGAATAGCACCTAAAACTAGTGCCAATAGAAACCGTCGTATAGTTACAAGATGGGAAATAACAAAGCTATGGAGCTCAATGGCGAAAGTAGTAAGCACGCTTGGTCTGCCATGGAAGACTACTAAACGACTTAAGCAATAGTCAGTGATTAGATGGGTGACCAAAAACTTATCATCTCGACCTCCTCCGTGCTTTGGAAGGCACTTAAGCTAATCCCGGCTGCATCTCCAGTCGTTAGCACCCACCAATCCGCAATGGGCCCGCGTGGTGGGTCACGGCCCAATCTCCCTATTCCATCCCAAGGGAAGGCCTCTGGCCCAGCAGTGGGGGCATTGTTAGATTGATAATGAACGTAAACACTACAGAGTAAATAAAAAAAGTTGGAAAGGTCTTGAAATTGTAAAATCAATTCGCTTCCTTTTTAGGGTTCCATAGCAGTATGGCAAAAAACGGAACTCTTATAGATTCATCATGTCCGTCCGTATTTTATACAGCCACTTTTTTACCGGCATTTAACTTAGCTTTTCGTATTTGCTATTTGTAAACCTGACAACAGCTTTTCCTAATCATGCTTTATACGAAATGAAAAGGACAGACTGATGTCAAGTTTACAAATATTATGTCAAAAAATGTTAACAAACAAACAATACTGGCTTACGACTGCAACTTTATAGTTTATTTATTTACTTGAAACTAAGCGATTGTGCAAAGTTTACCATTTGCCAGGGTCATATTAATAGAGCTTGAATTAAAAAAAAATATCAACTCAAATATACAATTCCACATCTTAAGACATTGTAATTGAGTTTACATTCGAAGTTACTTACCGTCAGTGACATCGTACAACTTAATGCCAGGTATCTCCTTCTCTTTCTCTCCTTCGACCGAGGAAGTCTTCTTGTATGTACACGTTCTTGACACTAGAGGTTTCCACCTAGCTACCTGTAGGCGAATAATATAATACATTGTTTCTTCTATATATATAAAAATCAACTGCTGTTCGTTAGGTCTTGCTAAAACTCGAGAACGGCTGAACGGATTTATCTTATCTTGGTCTTGAAATGTTTGTGGAGGTCTAGGGAAGGTTTAAAAGGTGAGTGAGAAAATATGGAAAAATTGCGAGGAAGATAGTAAAAACGTTAATTTAATTTTTCCATATAAACTATTCTATCTTCTCTCCTGTCAAACATTTGACGTTCCTTTTGGTACGGACTCGAGTCTGTCTTTTTTTCCAAATTATTTTAACCCGTACGAAGTACGCGGGTTCTACTAGTATTACTATAAAGAGAGCTTTGTATTGTAGCCATGATCATGAGTTAACCATATTATTGCAATATAGATTATATTGACTGTACGAAACGCTGGTATGACATCATAAACTCAATAACTTCAGTCCACTTGCAGCAATTATGATAAATATCAATTCAACAAAAACTAGATTTAACCCATAGAAAAACGTCAAAACGCCAATGTCAATTAGGCATTGTTGTATGAGCTTTAACTACTTTTAGTAAAATTCAGATTTAGAAAAATTACTGCAAGTGGACCCCAATCTTTAGCATCAATCTAGCCCTCTCGCCTCTAATTTCGGATGGCATGTTATGCTTTTTAGAGCCATCATTCCACACTGAGCCCGCGCAACGGGCCCATCCCCCTTTTATGTCAATATTTAGTCAACGAATAAAGGTAAAGGGTACAGAATTTGTAATTAAAGAATTAAATTTGAAATCACAGTGAAATAACACTATCTTTAGATGGTGTCGTGCTTTTAGTAGAAGATCCGAACCTACATCGAACTTCACTACAAGTTAATAATAGAATGAAACATATTTTATCATGAATTTAGTATATTAGAAAATATATTAAAAATAGTTTGCCTAAAAAAATCCTGGACAGACTACTTTTAATTAATTAAAAAAAATGTTGCAACATCAAGACAATAAGAAAATGTTGTCCGGACTTAATGAATAAAACGTATAGAATGTGCAGCCGTTGGATAACGTAACTGGCATCGACACACCTGTTTATACCTGGCATCCCAGTAGTTCGCCCAGGTAAATAATACGGCTGCACATTTTATACGTTATATACTGTAAGTCAGGACAACATTTTCTTATTATCTTGATGTGGCAACATTTAATTTAGAAATATTAAAAAAAATGTCTCTGTTAACCTTTTCAATGGTCAAGTGCATACGCCGCTCACCCCCTCAACCGGCCACGACAAAAATGAGGCCCCGTGCGGGTTGGGAACGATTGCATTGTTTTGCCGATATCTCTGTTATTTTGTATGAATACCCTATACAAACTATATATATTTGGATTCTCCATAAAATTTACTATAAAACAGTGTCTAAACAATGCGTCATGTCTATAATCTATTTTAATTACGTTAAGGTAAACTCGGGAAAGATAAAAAAAAGGCGTTTAGACGGGTAAAATGGAGTATATTTTCAAAATTTCATGTCCAAATTTTTTGGTTATTTGCACATTCTATTATAACTTACCAAATAAAAACATAATATTTTTTTAGGCAACCCATTTTTAATATATTTTCAAATATACTGAATTCATGATAAAATATGTTTCATTCTTTTATCGGCTCGGTGAAGGTCGATGTTGGTTCGGATCTTAGACTATTTGTCAGTGAGAGCAAGCCAACGAATTAGAAATGATATGGAAGCATTACTCTGTAACAAAGGCCACTAAAACATGGATTCTTACTCATACAACTAAACTTCAACACTAATGCGACACGCACACAGACCAAACGAAATACTTTGACAAATCAAATATCTCCAATGAATTCGGCTACCCATTCATTGGGTAAGATAATTTTAAATGGAAATCCCAACCTATCCCATGATGGGCGTGTTGTTCGGAGGTTTTAGACCCCGCCTCCTTGATCGCAGTTTGCGTGGAACCACATTTTGGCGCAGTTCGTTTTTTATATTATTTTCGATTTGTTTGTGCAAGCATTAACCTTATTAAAACACTAGCGGCCGCCCGCGACTTCGTACGCGTGGAGTTAGTTAGAAATAAAGGTTCACTGCTCGTTCCCCGTAGGTGATAGCGTGATAATATGTAGCCTAATTATGTTGACCCGACTTCTTAATAATATTCGTGCCAAATTTGAATTAAATGCAGTACTTTTTGAGTTTATCCCGGACAGTCATACAGACAAACAGACAAAAATTCTAAAAACTATATTTTTGGCTTCGGTATCGATTGTAGATCACACCCCAAGTATTCTTTTAAAAAAATATTCTATGTACAGTTTTGACTTTCCTATCATTTTATTATATGTATAGATACGTAAATTCACGATTCGGGTGCAGGCGTATATAAGTTTAATTTATTACCTGCGTTAGCTCCTCGAATCGTTCTATAGCATGCGGATTCCAGCGGTCCCAGTGTTGGCCGTTAGCTGTGACTCCGACCACTTCTTCTTCCTTCCCTGCCGGCTTCACGCCTGCCAGGAAACATTCCATGGCCTGTTTTGAAAAGAGCATTGATTGTTTATTAATATAATCGTTGTATTTAACTTCAATCGTAAATTTTTATTATGCCTAAACAGTACGGAACGGCATTCATTAACTTTGTTTAATCAGTTTTTTTTTATGTTTTATTCCATAGTCATAATTTTTATATAATTTACATATGTAATGGAAAGTGACTTCATGAGTTATCTTAATTTTAAGTCATTTTTCAATTTGTCAACTGTGTATATAATACGGGGAGAAATAAACAGCCCTAGCTGAGTTTCTTGCCAGTTCTTCTCAGTACAAGGTCTCCCGCCGTATATTTGCGAACCGATGGCGTAGCTTTTCGACATTCACAAGTGCTTGTAACAGCCAAGACTGAATAAATGATATTAAATTTTGTTTTTATTTTTAATATAAGCACTCTAAATAAGAGGCATAGCGGCTTTTCTGTTTAAATTGGAGCGCCCGTCTGGGGAAGTTGACCTCCACCTTAAAAATAATACTACCTTATGGTGATGTGGTGTTTCTGTTGGTGAGTAAGGTTCCAGGGCTCCACGGGGTAGGGGAGGGGTAGGCAACGGTGCGAGTGACATTCTTTACTAGCAGCCGCCCGCAATTTCGTACGCGTGGAGTTAGTTAGAAATAAAGGTTCACTGCTCGTTCCCCGTAGGTGATAGCGTGATAATATGTAGCCTATATGTTGACCCGACTTCTTAATATTATTCGTGCCAAATTTGAAGTAAATCATACAGACAAACAGACAAAAATTCTAAAAACTATAATTTTGGCTTCGGTATTGTTTGTAGATCAGACCCCAAAGATTCTTTGAAAAAAATATTCAATGTACAGTTTTGACTTTTCTACCATTTTATTATATGTATATTATATCGCAAGAGTCTCATAAGCTTGGTTGCTATCATTTTAACATAAAAAATCAAAGAATCTAGGTGAACCATATTTCAGAGACCAGCTTGGTTTTACATTATTTAGATATATAATTTAATGTAACTTTATTGAAAATAAATCTAAAATTCAATTAAAAATAATGTGAGAAAATTTACATAACAAAATTCTTGACAATTTGGGTTCTTTTCATGTTTTTTTTTGTGGTTTCATAACTAAACCGTGGTATCAGAACTAACATGTTTCCTGAATGTTATGCAATAAGACTGACCTGGAATCGAAGTCGCAACAAGTCTGCGCGTAGTTCGCACAACTCCTCCACAGCCACGTACTCGCTGTCACCGTAATCCACGTAGAATACGTCGGCAACCTACGTTATATATTGAAATTCAATTAAGTATTTTATACGTTGGTTCCTTTGATTATTTACTCTCCAGATAGAGCGTGGTAGCGCAAATGCGTTGAAAAAAATATCTCACATCTGATGGGGTCTAAGTCGTTTTCCGTCACTAAGTGTTCAATGCAACGCTGAGCATATACGCACGTCAATTACCGCGTTTCGTGTTGAAATTATTGCTTAAAAATGCCGAGTTGCACGATAAAAAAATTCCGAAATTATAAAGGACGCATAAAACAACCAACAAAGTCACGGTGATTAACTCATTATTCACCTTAAAAAAAATGATAACATCGTATTAGTTAAAAAAATTACGAATCTATCTTGAGTTTTTCAAAGTGACGTCAGTGTCTCATTACAAAATTCCCCAAAAAAAAGTAAATATGGTTCCAGATCAGATTTCCAAAAATTAACAAAGAGCTTCCATTAGAAAATATTCATGACGAACAAGTGAAGTCTGCAATTTCTACCCGTTTTCAGAAAAGAACAATTGAGAAAGCAAAAAAAGAAGTATTTTGCAAAACTGTTCTGAAATCCCGAAAACAAAACACCATGGGCAGTTCAAACTACGAATGCGCGCGCCTCTTTTTCACATTCAGCATAATATCATGACCTTTTACGTTAGATTAAAAAAAAATAAAAATGTACAATAATGACTAAAAAGTTATTTTACGATACAGCTACAGTGCGACCAAAATCTTTATGAATGTAGCGGAAATTGGAACTAACGCCGCCGCATTTGTAAATGTCATATTTTGTATGTCATTTACGTAGACAGTGGCGCCCTCCCTGAGCTGTCACTCACATTCATAAAAATCTTTGTTGCATTGTAGCAATACTGTAATGAGTTTTATTTTTAATTTAATGTCATCTTTAAATTCGTAATTCGAATATGTTGACAAGTGTATAGATAAACATATTTACCTGCTTGGTAGCGTCATACTCGTTGGGCAGTATGTCGTGAACCCTGGCGCGGTACCAGCGGCCGTCGTGTCTGAATACAGCCGCTACCACCTGACCCACGCTCACTTGCTTCAGCTGCAACAATGTGAAGAGCTCAATATGTCGACTAAATATATACAGTGGTGCCTAAGAGCACCCGCACATTGAGCCACAAGTCGTGGCCACTAAAGTTCTTAGCCCACTTATACGACACCACAAAACACCGCCCCAAACGTAGAAGACGAAGACATATTATGGGACGCTACATAAGGTACAAAATAATCTTACTTATGATGTGAGAGTCTGATGCCTGAAATGAGTATGGCAATACCTGTGTTAAAGGTCACCAGGCCGCGCTCATCGAATGTGAACATTAGTAATATAGCTTATTCAAAAATAATATTTATAATACTACTAAAAAGACAAGAACTAAAATCTCAAACATAAATGGATAGATGTGAAGTGCATGCGTGTGTGTGCTTGTGTGTGTCAGTGTGTGTGGTTAAGTGTGAGTGAATAAGTATGACGGTGTTCAATCGGTGAAAGCATGAATCGTGAATGAATGTAAGCATTGTTTTTTTTAAGTAACTTATTATTTATATTGAGACATAAGTGCTTCAGAGAACTACTCGCAGTTCACGTGGGGACAGCTAGCAGGCACCCAGCTGTCCAAGCGCTGACAGCTAGCTGTCACCGAATTGCTTGGTAGATAATACGGGAACGGCCTACAGGTCGCGGCACATAACTCAAGCGCTGAACAAAACGCGGAGGAGGTATCTACGCATTGGTACCACTAGAGAGACAATCGGCTCAACGCACGTCCACCCACACACCTCGTTTCCCCCCAAGACATCTCAATTTTTACTTCTGCGCAATAACGGTCAGCACTTAAGTTACGTGCCACGACTTATACTAGCAATCAGCGCGCGGACACCGCGCATACCGCTTGCTGGCAGCGCGTGGTAAGCGAGGCGTTAACTACCGAGCATGCTGACGATCGTAAGCGTACTGTCTGCTAATTTATGTTGCCAATGTAAAGTAAATCCAAATGGCAATACTTAAAAGCCCAAATTTGAATTATATTTTTTTGTCGGATATGAACAGAGTCGTATAAGTGAGCTTAGACCTTAAATGCGACTGCTTGTGGCTCAGTCAAGCCACTAGACATAGCCACCAATCGCAGCCGCTAGTGGGTGGCGGCCAGGAAGGAGCCGGCCACTATGGCCTAGTTTGCACGCGATGCGAGAAACAAAACGCGGCTATCTAGTAAGATTAAGAATCATCATGAGCCCATTAAGATCTGCACTGCTGGTACACAGGCCTCGCTGTGGTTGAAAAAGACAGAATGGGCCATTAACCACCACGCGGACACAGTGTGGATTCTGGTGTACAGGGGAGTTGCAAGACAAATGACTACTCTAATGGGAAGCCCGAGGACAATAGTAGAGGCCTGCAGCAACATCCGGGAACTGATGAGCTTTCTGCAAGAGCTGGGATGGCAGGACTGATGCCAATCCTCATGCAAAATAGGCACTGGGTGTCGAGTTGCAGAAACAGCCCGCTGTACTACTAAGACTAAGTGCGGATTTGCGGCGTTAACGTGCCTTCCGAAGCACGGCGGAGCTCGAGATTACCCAAAAATGTATTATCTCAAGCTCCTTCTAATTATATAAAAAGACCAAAAGACAGACAGATGGCAGCACTGCACTGAGTCGTAAGGTCCGCTCATCCGTGAAATCTTAAGTCGTCATTGCCTGTGGACTAATTCAAATGCTTGCACGACGAGTTCGCGCCAGAAACTTCATATTCCACAGTGGCGCCAATGGGGAAGAAAATTGTTCCCGCCAGATGCGCAGGTGTCGAATGGACCATAACAAATAAACGAGACAGCTGTCAGTCACAAGCAAAACCGACAGATTCCGAAAGACTTGGCTGCGTTCCAAACCTACGCTTCAAGTGCAACAAATGTCATGTTTGACATAAGTTTCATACATTTTATGTCGAAATATAATCGTCAAAGTAAAGAGTTGCACTCAGAGCGAAGATTTATAATGCAGCCTAGAAGTGTCAGGTTACTTGTTATGGGCCAAACGGCCAAAGCGCCATCAGTAATGAGATTTGCGTTTTCTTCCCCATTGGTAGGTGCTTTTTCTTATACACCCCCATTTGAAGGAGGCCTACACGCTAAGCGTCGAGACAGGCTGAAAGAAATAGAGATATATATAAATATATATACCTGATGTGCGGCCCGGGTTTCTCTCTCAGAGTAATACTGGGTCATGTGAGCCACCAATTCGTCCAGCTGTGCTACCTGTGGCCCCACGAATTGAACCCAGAACCGCGACGGAGAAGAAACCGCTGACACGTACACTTCTATGGACGCACCGCTCGTCTCTAAACCGGTTACAATCTCAGTTAGCTTTAGTTCTTTACGGCATTACATGATACGAAGGAAATCGAAGTTCAACATCCGGGGATTCATACAATAGTGATGATGATGTGAAAACAAAAAAAGTAAACGAGATTCTATTCAGTCTGTCAGTTAGATTATCAAAAAATAAAAGACATTTGAGGAGCTCAATGGCGCGGGTGGCTAGCGCGTTCGGCTGCTATAGTTGAAGTAAGCAACTTTCGCAGTGGTCGGTCATTGGATGGGTAACCAAAAATCTTCTATCTCGAGTTCCTCCGTACTTCGGAAGGCACGTTAAGCCGTTGGTCCCGGCTGCATCTGCAGTCGTTAGCATCCGCCAATCCGCACTGGGCCCGCGTGGTGGGTCAGGGCCCCAATCTCCCTAGTCCATCCATAGGGAAGGCCAGTGCCCCAGCAGTGGGGACATTAATAGGCTGATAATGAATAGACACATATTTTTTTCTTTTGTCAATCAACCAAAAAATTACAAAGATAAATTGCTTCAAAGTTTGGGAATGGGGGCTCGTGACGTTACTTCTAAGTAAAATTTGTACCAAGAATTGACGTCATGCTAAGTTTCAATTTAATTTATCCTTGTAATGTTTTGTTTATGTGAGTAAAGAAAATACGTATTCAATATTATTTGATAATCTACCTGATAGACAAAGAAAAAAGTTAGTCATCTTTCATATTGAAATTTCAAATCTATTGGTTTTGATTATTTTTCATTTTATTTATTTCATTTTTTTTATTTAAAAAAATAACCGCGTTCGTTATCGATATTTCTCCATTTTTTATATTTCCTATGTAATTGCAAACTTTGTTCAATGCTTACGACTAAACTCGGAGACTTACACGTCTCGGAGACGAATAAAAATATTTGAATATGACGTTCAAGCAAACTCACAAAACTATCACCACTATTTTAATGTCACCTTTTCTCTGCACACACCCCTTCACCATCAACTCGCAATTTCCAGTATATAAACGAAAATATACAATATCGTGTAAGTAAAATAATACATATAAACCAATGAAAATAAACTACGAAATCAAAAGACACACACACAAAGAAAAACAACAAATATTATAAACATCACACTGGGGAAGGAACAATAATGACGGATTTCCACAGGTCGGCGCGAAAAAGAATTTGAAGAGTATACATAGCAAATAAAGTTTGTATTCGCATGAAAGACAAATTAGTCACTGCGCCCATCGGCTGCCAAAGAATACCATAGTCTATTTTTTGTGCAGAAGGTAAACAATATTTTCAGTTATTTTTATCACGTTTATTTTTTTCAGCGAAATGAGCGTTTTGTTTTCAACAGCAATCAGAGCATTAGGTAGTTTACCTAGACGCATGTTTGTGTGGAATTAATGAATGAATTTAATTTTATAAAAGATTACTTCAATATGTATAAAAATCAGAACGATGATTTGTGTACAGTCGAACGATTAGTTCTTATTTGTCATATTTGTGATTTTCAGTACAGTTTGTATAAAAAAACTGATTAAAAAAAAACATCAGACACCACCAGAAAATCCAGGAATTGGAATAGTGTTTTTGTACTGAAACTAAGGTTATTTACTTTCTGTAGTTTCTTTTAACTATGATAATGAGCATACATTTTTAAAGAATTATCGCGCCGATTGTTGAAAACCGTACACAAGGCACTTGTCATACCACACCGGGTCAGCGGGAAAACAACTTACCACTGATTGTTCGTTTAAAAACGTATATCCTATTTCAATCAAATGACCACTATAGTTTGTCGCAGTGAGATCGAGTATCATCCCACAGTGAAGTTATACGCAAACAGTTTCTGGCTGTATTTGCTTTTCGCTTTAGTAAGACATTGCAGTGGGACAAGTGCTTTAGGGTTGCATTTAAGTGCGTATACAGTGCTATTTGATTGACGGTCTCTCAAACGATAAACAATTATGACTCAAGTTGGTTAGTTCACTAGTATATTACTTAAATGCAGCCCAATGGTCAGGCATTCAAACTATACATACATATTCTGATTCACTTCATAATAATATAATAATAAATATTTCTACTACTCACACCAATTTTAGCCTAGCCCCAAAGTAAGCACTGTAAGGCTTGTGTTATGGGATCTAGGGTAACGGATAGAATACATATATCGAACATATATAAGTATATTTATAAAGAAATACATATCAAACATCCATGACTGGAGTACAATTGCTCGTATTCATCACACAAACATCTGCTCCCACCGGGTTTCGAACCCGGGACCTCTCGAGTCGGCGACACCGTGAAACCCGGCGTACAAACCACTCGGTCGCGGAGGTCGTCAAATTATATACATATATATATAATAGTATTATCGCTATAATCACACAAAACAATAATGTATCTTATGTATAATATCTTAGCCACAAAACTTGCAGAACATACATACTTAATACTTGACGATATTTGCTTAAAAAATCTGGGATTGCCTTGATATCACATATGCACCTTGATCTATATAAAATGTTTGCGGAAAATGTTAAGGTACTTCTGATACTAACAGAAAAGTCACGAAAGTTTTCATAAATATCAATTTATTTTTCTTAAAATCGTAAGCGAATCTCTATTAAGTTTTAACTAATTTGACAATGGCCCAAATGTTAAGTTGTAGAGCAACTGATATTTTATTAAAAATTTACTACCCAAAATCTTATTTAAATTGTCCATCTTAATATCCTAAACTACTTTACCGATTTTAATCAAGTTTGGAGACCGTGTGCAGTTTGATACAACTTAATTGGATAGCTTACATCTCAATTTATAGTCGCAATATTATTTTAATACTTTTGGGCGGTACGAAGTTCGTCGAGTCAGCTATACTGATAAATCTCTTTCTACGAAAGTATGAGCCTTTATTTAAAAAACGGACAAAGACTGAAATTATGCTTAACTAACTTAAAAATTTGTAGTTTTTAAAGTTGTTTTACGAATAAAAAATATTATTTATGTATTGGGACATCACAGAACACCCCTACTAGAGACCACATACAAGGGCACCCGCTTATGCCAAGCTTATGTAGTAATACTACAGCAGCATGAGCTTCGCCAAAAAACATCGCGATACAATTTTGGTTGTCCGACTGTGACGTAAAATTGACGTGTCTAATCAAAACGCGGCTTACCCTCTCCCGCACTCCGCCAACTTTAGCAACCTCGAGTTCAAATTTCGAGCAAAAATTGAGTAACACGGTCTGGAGTTTTTGGCAGGATTTCATCGAGTGCGGTTGGCGTCATATTTTAATTATTCTTTAAATTCGTTCATAGTGGACATTGTGAAGTAATATTGGTGTGATACTGTGTTACAAAGGTCTGCGGAACTGAAGAATTAAAGGAATCTTTAAAATATTCGCTATATAGGTCAAGTGGATGTGAGAACTATATTATAGTGTTGACTACCTCACAGAAGCTTGTCGAGAAAGCCGACTCGATACATTTTGTACCAAACACTCCAAGAAATATTAGAATGCGTCACACCGACATTCTAATGTAAAAAAGGAAGATTAAGAATTTATGTATACGACTAAAGGACATGTATCCATGGTCATGAATAATTAAAAAAAAAGTAACATGGTCTCTAGCAGGAATGCTTCTTTGGGTATATAGTGCACATGCTGTTAGCCAATCTTACCAGGCCGCTTATACTTGACATGCTTGTGCGCTTGGTGGTCACCTAGGGCTTCGTCGGACTCCGGCGCGTCGGTGGCGGTCGGCTGGGCGTGCCGGGGGCTTCGCTTCGACTGCTCAATCTCTCGCCGACACTTCTCTTGGGCCACCTGAGTATATTGTATATTAATGCCACTCAATTACTGGAAATCTTAGGATAAAACAAGTTTCAACGGGTTAGATGCACTGATTTTATTTATTTATTTACGTTTCGCACCCTCGCAGGAATGCGCCGTCAGAATAATCATTTTTTGTTATTTACTTTAAAGTAAAGGGTGCGAAACGTCAATAAATAAAATCAGTGCATCTAACCCGCTCAAACTTGTTTTATTTAATGAATGATGTGCGTGAAAAAATAAGAAACAAATCTTAAGATAATCTCTAATTACATCATTCAATTTCAACCCTTACCCCCTTAATTATAAACGAGGAATAAGCTTAGACTAGTTACGCCGTGTTTTGTTCATAACCAATCAAAATTTCAGTATTGTGTTAATCTGTTCAAATGGGGCATAAAAAGACAGAAGCAGAGAACAATTCAGCACGTTCTAGTTACATCATTTTGATTCCATAAAACATTTGACAATTGGATTCATCATACATATTTATATAACTCAGCGTAATGTCATAGCGTAACGAAATCTAATAGTGAGGAAACTCGGTTGTCTAGACAGGACAATGATGAGGTGAGGTGCGATGCAGAATGGGCGTCCTCCACCACTAATACGCGAGTATGTATATAGTCCTTTGGCTTTACGCTGTACTTCGCTTTAACAACCATAGTGATTTATCGACGAGATAAAGATGTTCGTTCTCTATTTGATTTTATTACCATATAAGAATTTTAATAGTGATAGCACTTGAGGAGCTGGCAAACAAAACGGTATAATTACGCATCTGGTCAAACTACTTTTTTTTACAGTCCGGAGATTTCGGGCCCGTTGAATTTGAATCTCAAATAATTTTCAATCAAAACAGTGTTAAAATTACTAAATTTATAAATTAAATACTGTGGCAAAAGCTTATTGGAGGTATGTCATTCGGTTTTATACAGCTCCTGTAAAATTTTATTTTATGTAATTATACCGTTTTCTTCGCGAGCTCTTTACTTATAAAATGATCTGAATCTTAATTTTTCGGTATTCTTATGTTTCCATTAATATTGTAGTTGACCATTTTTCTATTTTAAAACAAAAATTTGAATTATTAGATACAGCTTTGCCAAAGTCAAACATCGCCAAACTAATTCCACAATCCAGTCAGTGAGAGAAATTAAAATATAGTAGAAAAAGTTGATATCACTCAAATGTCATTTGAATTTCCATGAACAGAGACAAAACATGGAGTAACTAATACAAACTTATTCTTCGTTTATTAATAAAAGGGATTAAATGCATAAAAAAAGATATTTCCTGAAGCTAAGTAATCACTTAAGCTCTCTCCCTACTGTTTTGTTTAGTGACGTTTCTTTGTATACTAGTCTTCTTGTATTAATAACTGTACTTCCCAATGAAAGAAAATAATTTGAAAAGAAATATCTGTATCAATTGACTGAAATAAAAATATGGTTCACTTCCTCCATGTTCCTAATAAAGGACATTATCCTTTATATCTGGCAGAACAGATGCTAAAAATCTCCTCACATATTACACTGAATATGGTTGAGAGAGGTAAGGCATTGCCGATTTTACTTTTGAATGAATTTCAGGACCCATCTGGGTAAATAATCAGAGGCCCGAGCACGAATTTTGACAGTTCCTTAATCGTACGGCATCAACAAAGTTTCTATGAAAATTAAGCTGCGCCCCCTTCCAGATGTAAGAACAAACCTTCCATAAATTAGACGATGACCATACGATTTCGGAGCTGTCAAAGTGGGCCTCTTCATCAACAGCGTATCCTAGCCCACTGCTGGACATAGGCCTCTCCAATTGCACGTCACTCAGATTGATCTTGGGCTAGTCGCATCCAGCTCCTGCCAGCCACCATGCGCATACCGTCACTCCATTCAATTCAACATTTATTGCAGACCATAACGGATATACAAAGGTGGTAATTTTAACAGATAAAAAGTGCATTATGGACCCTGTAGGGTATCGCAATTGGAAGAGGAGAGGACGTCTTATTCATAATTCCTTATTGTGACATAATTTGTTATATCCAATAAATTAAAACCCATAAAAATTATCTATTCATACTACTCCAATAAGATATTGTGTAATGAGATTCCATCGCTTCGCATCGCTTGGGCCTCTCAAAGTATTTAAATAGAATACTAAGTAATGCTATTTAACTGCTATTATAAGCTCAACTTACGCAGTTTTCGATGAGACCCTTAGCAACGGCAATCTGTTCCTTGGTGCCGCGGAAAGTGACCTGTCGTTGGGCGGCGCGGTCCGCTATGGCGGGGCCCTCGATCTTCACGCGCGCGCCGCTGCGATGGCTTATGTCGATGATTGTCTCACCACCAGAGCCTATACCATGATTTAAAATCGATTTTTCTTGTATTTACATTAAGTTAAAGTAAAAGAAATTCGCTTGCTTGTCCGTAAAATCGCTACCAATGTCCCGACAACATTCTTTCAATTCTTACAAGGTAGTACAAATTGTGTTTACTTGTAAAATGCGAAAATAATAGTGGATTGGCCCAATTTAATCAATCAAGCTAAAGATTTTTGTAATAAAAAGTTTGGCTAATTCTCTTCATTATTTTTTGGAATAGGCTTCCACATCAAAAATCTGTTTATTTAGGCCCTTGGAAAGATAGTAAATTTAATTAGTATGTCACTGACCAATAATCCTTCCACAAGCCCATCCAGGAACTTCCATGTTGTCTTCTACTATAATAGGTTGCTGCTTCATGAAGTCACGAATGAGGGTCTCTGCCAACTGACTGGCCTCGCTTCGGCCGCGAACGATACAAACATCGTAGTCCTGATCACTGAACTTCTTGAAATGTATCAGAGCTCCCGTTTTACGCTCTATCTCTTTGATATTGGATCCACTGCGGCCTAAAACAATGATATTTTATTTTACTGCTAAGTATCACTTATTAACATTAAAATTAACACTGGAGAAGTAAATGGTACCTTTAAAAGTACCAGTCTGTTACTTGAATACCGTAAAAAACCTTTTACTGTTCTGTACCTTTTACGTTAACTTTTACTGTAAAAAATTTAACTGCTTTCGAAATAACCAAAATAAAATAACATTATTTAACAAATATTTTTAATGTGAATTGATAATGTTAACAAGCCTCCTCCTGCCTCCACTACATAACCAAATACAATATTGGTCAACAAAACAACCACTTCACTTCTGTTATTCACGATTATAAATTGACCTTAATGTAAGTGTATTATTTGGAACTTCAAGTGGCAAAAAATGATAAATTTGAGTAGAGAATCCAAGGTGAGCATGTTAGAAACATGAAACTCCAATATAAGATTTCTATTTGACATTGAGTATACACAGAAAATACTAAATAAGAGCCACAATAAACTAATGAATCATAATAACATGACCAACAGAATAGTATATATTATATTAGGATAATTTATTTAAAACTTTCATAGCAAGCTTCTTGACTGGATAAAATAATGTGCATGCAGGATTTTCATTTAAAAGTGGTTTCTAATAGCTTTTTGTCATTTTTGTTTTTTAACAGTCTATTAACAAATAATTGACTTTATGTATAAACTTCTCAGCGCAAATCAGATCTGAGCTCCTTAGTGCCCACTTATCTATACTGGTGTTAGATATAATTTTAAAATTAAACACTATTTTACAAAAGAAAAAACGGGATGATTATTTTATTATGTTGTTTTCTGAAGTTAACAGAACAAAATTTCTTGTCTGAATAATTAATGACTTTTAAGTATATAGATAGGAAAGTTAAGCAATACTGTTTTGAAATATTTTTGGTACAAGGAATGTAAATACCAGTTTAAGTATAACAATAACTCCTTTTATCAAGAAACCACTTCACACAATTTGACATTGTAAGGAATTTATTGTAATGCATTGTGTGTTAATACAAGTATAGTAGAGTATAATCTCCTTTAATTATGCACACGACAATCCCTACTAAATCTAGTAATTTTTATTTATTGATACTTATTTGGAATCACTTGAGACCAAAATAATCTTAGAAGTTTTTTGCTTTGGGTAATTTTAATTCAGTCATATATTACAATAACTAGACTGAACTTTTAGTTAAACGATAATACTACAGTGTATGTCTTCTTTTGAGAGAATTAAGGCAATAATTCTGAGCTATGAATTCTTTAGGTAAAATTTTATACATATGGATAAATTTTAAAATCATTGATATCATATTTAAATTAATACTAGCATTAAATAATTTACACATGAACAATACTTGATTTTTAACATGTCATTTACTGACTTTTTTATAAATTAAGTAGATATGGTTCCATGACTTAACCTATACATATTTAAAGCTAAAAATAGTAAATTGTGGTAATTTATAAAAACACAAAAAATCATTCAACTTACCAATTAAAGCTGGAACTATGCTCTTGGGGATGTTGATCTCAATAACATTAACTCTTGCAGTTTTAACTGACTTGTTAACTTTTTGATCATTTTCCTCTTCATCTTTTTTAAAGACATAATACACAACAAGAGCTGTTACTGACACCAGAGAGACTCCAAGTGCAAATGGTAATAAAAGTTTCGCATTAAGCGACATATTGCTGAGGAATCAAAAACCAAAATATAAGTGACTGATGATAACTGAAATTTATGATACAGAAAACTACAAAATGCAACTGGCACCCAAGGTGAACTGTTTAACTTGCATGATAACAGGGAAATTTAAATTAAATGCGACTGTAATAAGTTAGGGATATGTTTTTAAAAGCATATTAAACTCTCAGAAATCTATTAGCGAGTATGACATAATAACAAGAACAAAAATTACTTCATAAAGTAATATGATACCTGTTACATATAATGAAAGCAACGGTAAGTAGTAGCTCCTTTTTAATTTACTAAACAGATTTTAAGTAATAAGCATTAGCGTCAAAATAACTTTACCAAACTTTACTTTTATGAGAAAACTAGAAAATTTCTGTGAAGTTTTCAATGCGTTCGAAAAAAAGTTAGCTCACAAAGTCAAGACAACTGTCAAATTGACACTGACATTTTCAAATATTTTGTCTTTTTTTAAGATTCTCTCCTTTCAGGGAAGGCAAAGGAAACAATGCCCATGCAGTCTAGTCTTAAGTTTTATCCTTTTTTTTAAATTTAGAATATCAGTGTGAAGTATTCTAATGTTTCTGGGAGTGTTTGCTATGAAATTTGTCGAGTTGGCTTTTTTGATAAGCTTCTGTGAGGTAGTCAACACTACAGTAAAGTTTCTCAAGTCCACTTGACCGCAATAGCGTATACTTTAAAGATTCCACTAATTCTTTAGTTGCGCAGACGGTTGTAACACAAAATCACACCAATTTTATTTCACAATATCCACTATGAACGAATTTAAGAATAATTAAAATAAGACGCCAACCGCACTCGATCACATCCCACCAAAAACACCATATTTGTACATGATTTCCGCGGCTGTACATTGTCACTCCGTTTCAGTAATGCCCGACCCGATAATGTACGGCCATGGTATTCAAGTATATGACTTCCATTTCCTCGGCCGGACATTCCGTGGCTGTGCTTTCCGCGGCTGTACATTGTTAGCTCGTGTCAATAATGCCCCACCCGATAATGCACGGCCATGGGATTCAAGTACTTTGGCATCCAATTCCGTGGTCGTGCATTATTGCTACGGACCGATAATGTACATACGGCCAAGTAATGCACGGCCATGGAACATCGCTCTGATTGGTCAGCATTTTTAACGTCAGGGTGGTTTTTTAATTGGCAAGTAAATTGCAAGCTTACTTGCCTATTAACTTGCTCAATTCATGTCAGTATTGAGTTATTGACTACAATACTAGATATTAATGTTATATAACCTCGTCTCCCTGCCACCCAAGAACCAACGGCTTAGCTAAAAGGTTTGTGCGAACCCTCAAAACCAGGATTGCAGCAAACGAGGATACGAAATCAAGACGACGCTTCATGAAATTCCCCTTCACATACAGAAATGCGACCCATACGACAACTGGGAAATCACCAGTGCAGATGATGTTTGGGCGTCAACTTAATTGCTTACTATCTACCTATCATCAGACCGGATAATAGCAGAGACTTGCAATACAAACAGATTAGAGCTAACATTTCAGAAACCATACCATTAACACCAGTGGCGTAGCGTGCCTTGGCGGGGCCCCGTATAAATAAATGTTTGGGGACCCTTAGGACGGATAAAGATTTTTCACATAAGAAAAAAAAATTTTTGCATAAAATTAAATAAATATTTATTCAGCATAATTATCTTTCTGTCACATTTTCCAAAATTTTTACAAGCAATTAAAATTAAATATGAACTGTCTTTGCCTTTTTTGGCAAGCTGATTTATTAAATCATTTATAGCTGATGGATGATGACTTTTGTTTTTCTAAAGTTTCTGCTTCTATGAGCAATAGTAATTAGTCTGACGGGCGTTCATGTCCCATCGAAGTTCTTAGGTAATTTTTTATCAGTTTAAATTTTGAAAAACTTCTTTTTAGCAGTTGAGGTTGTAACTATCCTATATCTGTAGCCGTATGTTCCCTTTTTGTTTTAATCTAAGATTGTAATATTTCGAACATATTTCTCAGGTCGCGAAGGCTCTCCCGTGGCAGTGTGGCTGGGTCTGCTATCGGGCGCGTCCTCTCGGGTGGCGGATGGGAGGCACCGGCTTCGGCCGGCGTGGACCATACCCAGCTGTGAAGACCTGGCTGGCGTCCTGGGTATCCCAGGTAGCGGCAGTCGGGTCAAACTCGTAACCCTGCACATAGTGTGGGGCCGAGGGCCGCCGTCTGCAAAGGAACTGTTTCCTTTGGAGGCGGGGGCTGCGAGGAAGACAACCTCTCTAAAAAATTACCCGGTGGTGGTCTCGGCTGGCGCCCTGGGTATCCCGGGTAGCGGCAGTCGAGTCAAGCTCGTAACCCTGCACATAGTGCGGGGCCGAGGGCTGCCGTCTGCAAAGGAACTGTTTCCTTTGGAGGCGGGGGCTGCGAGGAAGACAACCTCTTTAAAAAATCACCCGAGGGGTCTCTCGGCCGGCGCCCTGGGTAGCCCGGGTAGCGGTGGTCGAGACTCCATAGGTTGAGGCGGAAACGCCATTGGTGAGGGCGGTTGCGGCGCGAACTCCGCGTCGCTTCCGGCCAACCCGTAACCCCGCACGTGGTGTGGGGCCGGGGGCCGCCGTCCTTCGGGGCGGGGGCTGCAAGGAAGAAAACCTTTTCAAAAATCACCTTTGAAGAAGGCCAGGTAGGGTTCCCTCGCCCGGAAGAGGGAAAATCGTATGAAAATGTCGGACAATGTGTGTTATTTGTCCTGCGATCCCGCTGACACCGGGCGCCCTGGGGAAGCTCCTACCCAGGGTGTGAAATTTGCTAGCAGCGGCCTTTGCGCTCCGGTTGGCCACCGGCGCCAGGGGGATTCCGGTACCCCTGGTGTTAAATTAGTTACCGAGGAGTTTGGAGCAGAGGTCTTGAGACTGAGGGGCGGAGCGGATGAGGGCGGGGATATAACGCCTTCCCCCGCCAAAGTACATACGGCCCGTCGAGGCATGAGAAGCGCGGCGGCTTCCACTAGACCGATGGAAACAAGTGGTAAGCCAGAACCACCGACCATGGACGACGACGAGGAGGAGAAAGATAATCGCTCATGGAAGGAGGTGAGCGATGATACCATGGACATCATACAGGGAGTGGTAAAGGCGGTAAACGAGGCCAGGGATGCCAAAGAGCTGAAAAAGCCTCGCTATGTCAGGATTTTTGACAACCTTGAGGCTTTGGAGGCGAGCCTGGTTTGCATATTCAGCAGGGCTAGCGTGGAAGGCTCCTATGTGGAGAGAGCTCGCCGGTACCGTGTTGAGAGGGATCGGTGCAGGGAGAGATTGGAGGATGCGGACGCTGAAGTGAGTCGGCTCCGCGCGGAGAACTCCTCTCTGGCGGGAGAGGTGGAGGAGCTGCGCAGGGAGGTGCGGGTCCTCCACGAAAAGGTGATGGGCAAGGACAGGACCAACGGACCGGAGTGGAAAGAGGCCGTCGAGGAACTGAAGCGCTCCCTTATGATTTCAATAGGGGAGATGGTCAGCACTCGGCTGGCCTCTCTGGAAGGAAGACTGCCCCGTCGGAGCGGATCAGACCGCCCCTAGCGGCGGACCGGTGTGGTCTGAAGACAGGGACGTCTGCAGAGGTGGAGACCTGGAGCGTGGTGGCCAGGAAGAAGGCCAAGAAGAAGGGTGCGGGCCCTGGGGTGGCTCTGGTGCCAGAGGTGACGAGGGCGCAGGCGCCAGCGCAGAAAGCGCCAGAGCGGAAGAAGCCACTGCGACCGGAGGGCGGGAAGCCGAAAATGAGGGTACCGAACACCGCGGCTGTGACCCTGAGGCTAACGCCGGCCGCGAAGGAGGGAGGGGTCACCTACGCCAAGGTGTTGGAGATGGCCAGGGGGAAGATGAGGCTCCAGGAAGTGGGCATAGAGGGAGGGCTTAAGATCCGGGAAAGCCGGGTGGGGACCAAACTCCTGGTGGTCCCAGGCCCGGACAGCCCCACCAAAGCGGATGCCCTCGCGAAATGCATCAGTGAGGTGATGTCAGAGTTCGTGGAGGTCGGCAGGCCGGAGAGGATGGCCAACCTGCGGATTTCCGGGCTCGACGAGTCCGTCACGACGGAGGAGCTGGTGCAGGCGATGGTAGAAAAGGGGGGCTGCCAGGCCTGCAGGGTGGAGGTTGGGGAAATACACCCCGGACCGGGAGGCAACGGGTTCGCCAAAATAAGGTGCCCCGTAGATGCCGCGAGAAAGGTGGCGGAGGGCAACAGCCTGAAGGTGGGGTGGAGCCTTGCACGCGTGACGGTCCTGGGCCCCCCGCCTACGCACTGCTTTAGGTGCATGGGCAGGGGCCACGTTGCCGACAGGTGCCCGTCAAGGGAGGATCGCAGTGGCCTGTGCTTCAGGTGCAGGAAGACGGGACATAAGGCGGCAATATGCACCGCCCCGTCCCGATGCGCAGTGTGTGCGGACAGTGGTCGGCCTGCCGACCACGTCATGGGGAGCAGGAGCTGCGACCCTCCGGTAACCCGGGGCAAGCCTCCCGAGAAAGGGCCCTCTGAGGCGTCGGCGCCCGTACGGGCACCCTCAGAAGGGGCGATGTCCGAATAGCCTGAGCCGCTCGGACCCCCCATGAATTCTGTCGCCCGCGTTTCCTCCTCTTCTCCTAGGAGAAGACGCTAGGAGACGTGGGCGACCGGGAGGGGAGAGGGACGGGAAGAACTACGCTTCCCCTCCCAGGAACGGCGGCCTCCCCAGTAGTAGTTCTGTCCTACAAAGGGGGGCGGCGGAGGGTTCTTGGACGGATACGCCCAGGAGTCCCCTCCGCAGCGGATGGGGGGCGGTATGGTGGGCAGTAGGCCGCGTATCCAGCCCCCACGCGCGGGCCTACCTGCGCACGTCTGCGGGGTCCCCGTAATACCGTGGGAGACCCCTGCCGTGGAGCCCTGGCGAGGCCGGGAAGCTGCTGGGAGCGGAGCCGTGGTAGAATCCCTAACGGGGACCCTGCGGCTCCGCACTAAGCAGTGTAGAGGTATTCGCAGGACTTTTTTAGCGGATATTATGCTGTAAAGCGCCCGTAAGAGTTGCGGGGTCCTCGGTGGGTAGCCACTGGGGGGTTCGTAAGACTTGCGGGAGCCAGGTGTGAGGTCCGTTCGGCGGTGTGCCTCTTAAAGGCGCCGTCGTCTGTAAAAAGATTTTTTACCTGCGTTAAAAAAAAAAAAAAAAGTCGCGAAGGCTCTGAAATCTTTATTTAGTAACACAACGCAGTCACTAAAACAATACTTGAAAAAAACTGGCTTCGTAGTCAAACGTAAAGGCAAAATATTCGTACATAATCGAAACACCGAGAGGACTGAAATGCGAGACACGCAGACCATATACGATCGAGAGCATCATCAACGTCACCATCACAAGGCCCGATCATCGAGACTAGAACACCAACAGAAGTTATCCCAAATACATCCACCGTGTCTACGACACCTATGACAGCCGAAGCAGCTGATAGTGGCAGCAAATCCACCATTACTAGATACTAACATAGGCGACTGGCCAACACCCACCTTAGAAGCAGTGCCTATGCCAGCACGCCGAGTGTCACCACCACCCCGGCGACTTATTACGACGACGACGAATGTTATAATCTCGTTTAACCTATATTAATGTCTTTCGTGATGTTACTCATCTTTTGTCATATAAGTCATTGTTTTTATTTTTTAAAATAAAATAAGATCTTTTCAATGTCAACAACCATTTTTTTATTTTCATATTTAACTTGTAAACATTTTAGTTACTTCCCCACACGGGCGCTCCATTTCGAGCGAATAATCCGCTATGCCCTACCTCTCTTAAAGCTTAGCGTATTTCTTTAATGATCTACATAATTATTAAGATATCTTAAATCAGTATATTGTACTTTCATTTCTGAAATAGTGTTTTGCACATTTTTTTTATCTTTAGCGTTCTAGAAAGACGTAATTACACATACAAAGTACCTACGAAGAAATATTGAATTTAAATCGCGTGCCGATAGTGGCGTGAAGTTTCAGATCGCGTGGTTTTCGTGTAACTCAATTTTCCCAAATTGTTCCCACACATTGCTTTTTCCCATAGCTTTAACGTTTAAGTATGTACCTGTAGGTAATAATATAATAACAATATTTAGGGGTTTTGAAAAATAAGTGCAATTTCTTATTTCTTCAACAGGAACTTATAGCAGAATAAAAAGAAAACTGCTATGTTGATATAGCTTCGAGCAAGATGACCTGGGATGTAACTTTAGGTAGGTATTCAAATTTTATTCAAATAAAAAAAATGTACCTAGTCATTCTGTTATGTGTAAATTGCATCCTTAGTAATATAACAATAGCTGCTGGTGCTACAGAGATTACGAAGAAAACTGCCACGAACTTCTTGTTTCCTGTCCTTTTCCATTTCCCTCCATGTTTACCTAAGCACCTACTACTACGCACATGGCTGCAATACATAGCATCCTCAAAAGCAATAGCGCGACTCTTATCTTCAATTTAAACAAAACCTTTTGGTACTATCAGAAGAAATGACATCAATATCTCGCCGATTTGAATACTGCACCCCTTTCCGTACCACCACAAAATAAAGTGCTGTCGCTGCAACGATATAAAAAAACCATCTTTGTACCTATAGCTGCAATATTCTGCAAGGAGGTGTAGGTTCTTCCCCAAGCCGAACATTTCTCTCAAACATAAACCATAGAACATAACCGCCCAATACGCAACCGTGATTCGGTTAAAACTCGTGGAACGCTTCTACCAACGTAGGTTTTCCCTCGAAAATTGTAAAAGGCTAAGCGGAGCACGAAATATCTCGAAATACGATAGGGGTAACCATGGTTAAGTAATTAACTGGGACCAATATACATGCAGCAGATAGGTACCTACTGACGATTCATTCGTGTTTGTGTAATCTTACACAAACACGAATCTTTTCTTGAAGTCTTCTTGAAGACAGCCGAAGACATATTAACGCCGGTTTTGTACATCAAATCGATCAAGTATAGTTTTAAGTCAGACTTAGTCACAGCTATGGAGCAAATAAATACAATTTTGCTATGATTGGAGCCTTTAAAACATTATAGCTATTTTTGGCTGTCTTAGGCCCGTGTTAATAGATCGCTTTCAGCTCAACTCTGAAAGCGATCTTGAGTACGATCTTGAGATGCTGTTATATACGAATAGTATATCAAGATCGTAGTCTCAGAGCGATCTATTTATACGGGCCTGAAAGCATAAGATACACTTAATTATAGGTATTGTAAATTGTTTCCAAAAATAAATAATAGCTTTATTTAGTAAAAAAAAATAACATCCGAACTCAGGTTTCGAATCACCGACCACTTGCCTCGACCTCAAGATACCGATTGCATTCGGCCATCCGTCTCTTAAAGTACCTAAATGATAAAATAACAGATCGCTATTTTGTGTCAAATACTCAATTTTCGTTTCATCGAATCTCAAAATAAATACGATAGAGATAAAGATACTAAAGAAGTTTTCACATCAAAAATGTAATAAAACATTTAATTCATTTATAGGGACAAAGTATTTTATGGGCACCCTACACTTCTCCCCAATAAGCAGTAATGGTAGTATAACATCATATTTTTTATTGTTCAGCGAATGCTCATGAAAGGACGAAAAATCGGCGCACAGTAAAATCGATAGGCAGCAAAACACATTTTCTTGTTTTGTGGGCTCCGTACCCTTTAGCACAACACATTTTCTAGTTTTCAGGGCTCCGTACCCTTGCGCAGCGCACACCGGGAGAGGGGCGCGGCGAAAATACTAAGAATTTAACAATATATGTTGAACCTCAATCATTTAAAATAAGTTAATACACAACCGGCGCACATCGCAGCGAAGCAAACACGAAAGTCAGCGCGCGACTACTCCACCACGAGGCTCTAAAGGTGGGCTTTCGTAGCGTGCGTCAGCGACGCCGCGACAGAGCGTCAGATAGAATTTCTATGCAAATGTCAATGACAGCTTCGGTCAAACCGGCATTGACAATGTCATTTGCATAGAAATAGGGAAGATGCAATATTTTTATTTTTGTTTTCATTTTAAAGAATTCCATGTAGAATAAACCACAGATATATTAAAAAATTAAAACATTGTGATTTATCGGAAAAAATGCGGTTTTAAATTGACAATTTAAATTTCCGCGCGAAAACGAACCTATGGTTGCGATGACGTCACTCCTGTCTGTCACTGGTCGTACTTGTTCGTCGCTGGCTTTAAATTTTCTTACTTTTGCATATTTTTTCGACTTTAGAAATATTTTTTTGAAAAATTTAAATTGGACTATCCATCAACATCATGTGATCATAACAATACCACTAATATTCCGGAAAAAAAGCCGTGTGTCATGTTTTGTGCCAATCTACTTCAACAAAGTTTCCAAATAAATTGTTTTTGACTGGAACTACTGACCCAAAACTGAAAAAAGGTGGTTTCAAGCTGCGAAGAGAAATGACAATTATTCTCCAAAGACCATTATTCGATGCTGTGAAGATCACTTTGACGTAAGTCGGCGAATATACTTGTTATATGCTTAATTAATCTACTTGTATGTACGTAAAAACGCATTAGTAACGTACCTGATATTTACAAAACCTGTCTATAACATATTTTTAATTTTACAGTTGGAAAATCAGAATCACGTCGAAAATTAGATAAAGTTTAAAATGTGTGGCACAATCTTCACATTGGCAGGACTGAACCAAGCTTTGCGTTTCATTTAAAATAACTGTAACACGATAACCTTCTTTACGTACTTTATGCTCCGGAGAACTCGACCTTTTACTGTACATAATTCTCCATGTCTTTTAATTTGGACATAGCCGATTGCATTATCGCCGTTTAAGATTTGTAGAAGCCGCTGAATAAAATACGAAGTTTAACAACTACGATTTTAGTATACCGTAGTAATTTAGTCCCTTTCATTTCTACACTTAAAAACTGCATTTTGGACAAAAAAAGTTATAACCATGTCAACACTATCTCTTGGTAAATTCCTGGAGTCTGTTTTGATAAACGCAACTTCCATTTTTATTAAATGTAAAAAAACGCAATACATATTCCCATAAAATAATATTTACTTTAACAACCATAACCTCAAAGAAGTTGTCATAACAGGAGTGACGTCACTAAACGCTGATTGGTGTTTTAAAATACGTTCCGTTTTAAGTATTTTTAATTCGTAATAATTGTTAAAAAACAACATTATGTAAAATGAAAACGTTGCAGTAGCATTTCTTTTATATTTTTTTAACATTTTAATCATAAAATTTTCATAAATATTAAATATGCATCTTCCCTATTCAATCTGACGCTATGTGGCGGCGTCACTGACGGTCGCTTTGAAACCTTACGCTTGGCCCGCTCACAGTCGCCGCACGTTGAGCGCTGCGCCAATCACTGAAAATTGAAATCCCATCACAAAACTTTCGTTACCCGTCCGTTTATCAGGGGCTGTCAGATTTAAGCATTTGATTTAAACTCGTCTTAAAAGGCTGGACCGTTGTTTAAAGGGGTTGCAATCAAGCTTATGGTCCACCTGCTGGCAAGCGGCCACCATAGACTATAGACGCTATCGATACAACAATATCGCACGCGCTGTTGCCTACTCTGACTCCATCCCCTACCCCGTGGAGCCCCAGGAACCTTACACACCGACAGAATAACAACGCCACCAAAAGGTTAATTTTAAAACACCAATTAACCCTGTATATTACTATGATCTGCTTTATGGTGGAAGTTACTTCCCCAGACGGGCGCTCCAATTCGAGCGGAAAATCTGCTATGCGCTACCTCTCTTTATTTATTCTTCTGCTCTAATGGTTCTGGGTTCGAATCGCCGCGGGTATAATTATACTGTTTGTTATGCTGCTTCTGCTTGTTTGCCTACTGGCTTAATTTCATTGTGTTGTAACCCAATGGATGGAATCGGGCCAGAGCTTCAGTCAGTCTGTCGATCAACCATGCAGCGCCCATACAAGCGTCGATACCTTCAGTCCAACAACATGCACGAACCGAGTTACGGCGGTAACGTATTTACTGTGTATGCTAGGTCCGAAATCAATAATGTAGCCTGTCTTGGTAGGAATATTGCTCATAACTTATGTAGTTGAAAAAGTTTTAGTTCAGTTTCCGTGATCAAGCTTGAAATTAATATAGTAGATACTTAAGTAAGATAAGACATACGAGACTTTCATTTGGGATTTATTGGAGTGAACTTTCTCCTTACAAAAAAGACTGTTTTTTTTCTGCAGTACTTAAGGAAGATTGCCAGTGCTCTACGAGACAGAGGAATAATGTTCATGGTGGTTATTTCAGCTCGTATCTCTGAATCTGGAGGCAATACCAAGGTCATCCAATGAATACTATAAATAATCGAATTTTCAGACTTCGAATATGTTGTGACAAAGAAAGTACCGCCCCGAATATGTTTCGGGACTGGTTTGAACCGCGAAGTACTGCCGACTAAAGGGCCTGCGATGAGCCCTTTCATGAGACGGCTTGCGGGTGAAACGAGGGCCAACCTTGGGCCCGGCAGATACGACGGTCAGCGAGACGCTTTCTACGATTTGACGCATAGGGTACGGGTCAATTTTAAATTATTCTACACTCTTAAACACAGAACACAGAAAGAGGTTAGATGGGCCTTGTGGGCGGGGCAGGCGCGCCACAGTTATGTGTGAGCAAATGCATGAACTTCACCAAAACTTCGTTCTGATTGCTTCGTTGCTCTCAGATATGAGCGTTCATTGGTTACATTATTTGATGTCGCGTCGTTTGATTGGTTCTTATCTTTTAGGTGGAAGTTTAGTGGGGGCAAGCCGGCGACATCCATTCCCGTACGGACGGTATATGACCCCCCTTCTAACCTCTTTCTGTGTTCTGTGCTACCAAAATCCAAAAAGATCATAATGTCGGCTGCTGCGCAAACGATTTTTAAATAGATTTATATAATTATTTTCCAATGTAACATTTGTTTCTTAATTCTTAGCAGTTTCGATAAAGTTTGTTGTATTCACGAATTCTCAAGATTTTCTTTAAGAGTAACTATTTAAGAAAGCCTATCATTAATTTGTAGAAATACAGCGTAAACGGCTTGGGTGCCAAGGAAGATCGTTGGAAGATGCGTCACGAGCATCAGCCCCCACCACGAGAGCGACCAAAGCAAAAGCCCCCTTCTCAGAATTGCGCTCCCTTCAATTCCACTGCCAGTAGGAAGCCACTCTTTGTTGCCAGTGAATTCCCTGCGTAAGTAATCTATATATTATGTATATAAAAATCAATTCCTGTTCGTTAGTCTCGCTAAAACTCGAGAACGGCTGAACCGATTTATCTTATCTTAGTCTTGAAATCTTCATGGAGGTCTAGGGAAGGTTTAAAAGGTGAGAAAAATCCGAATTCTACACTACAGCTCTACACTGAAGCGAAGCGAGGGCGGGCCACTATAATCTGTATAGTCACTATAGTCTGTTAAAGTCTATAATATTAACGTAACCGTGACTACTTTAGGTACCTATTAGAAGTAGGCATTTTCCTTTAAGATAAGTCGTCATAGTCAAACTAGATAGTGATTTCTTAAAATAAATAGGTAGGTTTCTGTCTCTGGGGAATGAATAACAAAACCTTTTTATTTCCAGCCCATGTGACTACTGTCCTGAGCACAAAAAGCGACAGATGAAATTCGCATACAGTTTCTCCGGAAAGAAGGTGTTGCGGTGTGCTGTTGAGGTAATAGTAGATCCACAGAACAAAGAAGAAGATCTCATTATATTGTTTTAAACTTTCGTGGTCACTAACATTGTAGCTATTATTGTTACCATGTACCTTGTTTTTTATGTGTCCCCGATATTTCGACACTGTTGCAAGCGCCATGATAACGGAGTAACTGCAGTAATTGCGGGTAGATGTTATTGGCAGACATATCGGTCTACCCTCTGACGTCGTCTTTTATTGCGTTCGATACCCCTACCACTAATCACATTATCACTATTCACTCGCACTTGTTCCCGACACACAATGCTCACATTATCAGACCACACTTTTTTGATTTTTGCGGTTTTTACACATACGAACCACTGGATTCCAGACACTTGACAATTTAAACCCATCTTCACGATTGAGATTCTTGTGTTTGGTTATTTCAATCGCTTCCCTGACCAATCTTGGTATGTAGTGGCGTTCTGTCGAGATAAAATAGTGCCGAAATATCGGAGACTCATAAAAACAAGGTACATGGTAACAATCCCGTTAATAGCTATAAGATCTCATTAAGTAATTAAGTGCGGGTGGAAAATCGCCTCCCTTGCTATCTGGGCAAAAGTACAAAACCGATATTGCCGAGACTATAAACTGAGCCTACCCCAGCACCTCCTGAGCTGAGAGGCAGCGGCACTTCTACGCCGGCGGAGCCCAGGAAGTGCCAGAGGGGACCCAACCACCACGTCCAAAGACATCAAACTTTTTGAATTTTTCATGACGTTAGTGTTGAGTTGAGTGAGGGTCATCACACATAATGGACCTAGATTTAGGATACTAAGAGGTTTTCCAAGAAAACGTGATTGATGTAGGATTTCGTGACAGAGAATGCAGATAGTCAAACAACAACCTGGGGCTCTACAGATGTTTTGGACCATTTATGGACACAGGACCAGGACAACTAAACATAAAAAATAACACTATGTTATTAAATGAATGTTGTTTGTTGAATGTTTTGTTACTCAATCACGAAAAAACAGCTGAACAGATTTGAATGTTATTTAAATTATTGTTTATTACCTGGACTGAGACATCCGGTTTAATTTTATTCGGAAAATGTTACGTTCCTGTTGGAGTCACAAAAAACTATAACGTGGCTGAAGTCGCGGGCGGAAGTTAATAATGATAGAAATATAATGACTTTCCCTTAACGTTTTGTTTGTTTAGATAAAATGCGTGCCCTACAACCTGGACGCGTGTGGTTTTTGTGGTTGCTCATGTTCTGCCCAGGGAGATTACTGGCAATTCGAAAACAGAATCTTCCTCTGCAGGAAGCATTACAATAGGCTCTTCAAACATTGCCTCTCTAAGTTCCAAGGCGCAAAATTAGCGGAATTTAAGGTAGAGTACAGACAGAGTTTATTGTGAGTGGTTCCTTTTTTATGATAATACCTAGTTCTTTACTTTTTTATTTACAGTATTACAAGATAATTACAGAATATAAAATAACAACAACCTCAAAACTACTTATGTATAAAATTTAAATAGAACTTGCCTTAACGTACTTATGAATCGCCTTTGAGCCAAGTACCTACCATACCTAGTTTAATTTTAAAGAATGAAACTGCTAGATGTTTATGCCTACTTGAAGAAAATTATACGTTCGAATTCAACTCAGCCCAGGAATTTTCTTCAGATTGATTGAGATAATTTTCAATTGATCGATTACTTTGTTTTTAAAAATGTTACAAGGTTGGCAAACAAACATACGGCTCAGCTTATGGTAAACGGCCACCATAGCCATTAGACTGCCTGTAGAATGCGATACCAAAATTGACATCACTCGCGCCCTGACCTGACTCCACTAAAAGATAATGTTATTTTACTATGGTCTTCTGGAGGGTTAGTGATTACATCCCCAGACAGGCGCTCCAATCCGGACGACAAATCCGCTATGACCAACCTCTTTGTTATTTCTTGGCAAAAATAAACAAAGGATGTTTCTAACATATTCTTTCTAAACTTTGCCATCTAAAAGTTGCTAGAAGTGATTGCTCGTTAAAACATGGTTAAAAAACCGTGTTTAATATTTTTGTTGTATTGAAGTCCCGTAGGATGAGAATTGAAATTCCCTTTTCCCACAGAACCTGAACGCCACTAGGTAAGGTATGATGATTCAATTTAGCATGGCCAGAGTGACTGGCAGCTGATAAGATATTCTACGTCGCATCCCATCTGAAATGAAATTTCAGTTTGGTTTAATATCCTAGTGGAGCAGTAGAAATGGTTCCAGAAGTTGTATTATATGAACTTTTACCGCCAGGCTAAAATAGCGGTTGTAGCAGGATGGCCCTTTACGGCCACTTCCAATAATTAACTCCAGTATAATGTAGGCTTTCTAGAGCTTTGTTGCCAAGATATTTTTATTAATTGGACTATAATAACAACTTGCTAAGTAACGGAATCAGATTATCCTTGCCCTTTACCAGAGGTTGATCATTGAAACCGGCCGTTAGAGGATGATCCTTTACTGTAATGTGAGGTCTCTGTCTTACAACAGTACTGAACTGGCGCTAAAAGTTCTTATTTCAGGCTCAGGCAAGGTTGTCTCTATTAAGGAGCATAGGATTCAAAACAGTAAAATGTTTTTATGTATTTCCTATAGTCGGTGAGGGACTGCTTCTTCGCTCATGCGCATAACAGCTGCAAGGCCGCACTCAAGATAATGAAGAGCGAAGAAATAGCGAAGAAATTACGCAAAGAAGCCTATCTCGATCTGTATTTTCCACAACGACGTTTCTGTAACTTTTAAATTAATAAACTTTATTTAATATTAGTAAATAATTATTTAATTTTATTATTTTTTTTAAGTACATAATGCTGCTGCATGCTTGGTGTTTAAATCTTGTATATACTACTAAGATGAACCAACTCGGTCTAGGGAAACCGAATCCCGTCTGAAACTTGACTCGAGTGGATTTTTTTCTAGAAATGTTTTCCTCGTCTTTGTTCATTTTTTAAACAAATGTAGTCAAAAAATATTAACGGCTCAGGGGAAATCTTCTTTCCGGTTGCTGCCATAAACGCATGTATAGGCTCCTTAACCTCGAACAGCGAATAGTGCTTGCTTTCTTTTTGATTGCGCTGCACATTGTGTTATTTCACCTCAAAATGACCACTCCCTTGATTAAAGATGAATCAGATAAAGCTCTTCATTCTAAGCGCAAGAGTAAAACTCCCACGATTCTAACTATAATAGTTTCGACGAAATCCCGGTTTTTCTTTTTTTGTACCACATTGTGAAAAAGAAATAAAAAAAATATTTTGTCTAAGCTATTACAGTTATTTTATTTTTTACATTGTATTTCAAAAGGTATTATTTTTATCCATATTATGAGTCTTCTATGGCTGCCCTAGAGCTTGTAGGAACCGAGAAATCGGCGATTTAGTGATTTTCGTTTTTAATTTTTTGTGCTCATGTTATGCAATATAAAAGCTTATAATTTAGTTCAAAATGTAGCTAATAATGTAGAATATCAACTCAAAAAATAACAAGCTTTAACTCGGTGGTATATCGGAAATATTAAGAATTTAAATTTGTGGGACAATGTCCCACATTTTGAAGACTTAATTTTGAAAACGTAGTTATGCTACTTTTTAAATATTATACTATAATAACTATATAAATACGTTGTTATTATATTATTTACTATTTATATAAGATTATAAATGTTTTTGGTATTTTTGTTACATAATCATCCACTTTTGTGGGCCAACTTGTTTGGATGAAATGTGGCACACAGGCATTAAGTTCTTCCCTATTAAGTGCAAATAAACAAATAAATCTGTTTAAACATTATCTGTCGTAAACACACTGTCTTCGTTATGAAGAAAGTTGTGAATTCATTTTCTTCACTTTCTATGCATGCAGTTTCGACGTCGACATCACTGTTATCGTCATATAAACATCCCGAACTGTCCGGTTTTAATAAATTTATTACAGCCTGTGGCAGTGGCATTCTCATTCGGTTATTTTCACGATGTTTTAGCCGTATAGCCGATATCACAGGGTCGGATGACTCGAGCGCCCTGTGAAATAAGTCTGTCATGGTATGAACCTTAGAATCTTTCCGGCTGTGATGTTCTCTGTCCTGACGCCAAAACTTGTTCCTGGATTCTCCTGCCTGTTCGGAGAGTAGTCCAATGGGTAGCGCTGAATCTACTATATAAAAATAAGTCGGGTTTTCCTTCCTGACGCTATAACTCCAGAACGCACGAACCGATTTCCACGGTTTTGCATTCGTTGGAAAGGTCTCGGGCTCCGTGAGGTTTATAGCAAAGAAAATTCAGGAAAAATTAAAAAAAAATCGTTTTCTTTTAATCACAAAACGAAATGTTACATAAAACGAAGCTATCTGGTGGCGAAACGGAGTTCGCTGGGTTTGCTAGTTCTCTATAATTTTCTCTCCGTGAATTAGGATTTTGTGAAGGGTAGTAGTCATAGGGTGCCAGTTGTAGTTTTCTACGTATTTTTTAGCTATATTTTTACAAAAAGTACCGAATTTTTGGGCGTCTATTGGTAATCCCGAATTGATGGCTATTAAAATTACATTTAAATCATCTAAGAGCCATTTCTCAATATCAAGTATATTGGCAAACGTCTGGCGGCTTTGTTCACTTTTGAATACTCGACGAGCCGTATTACCATCATTCGTGGTCCCTGAGTTAGGCTTAAAAACGTCTACCAATAGACCCATACTTTGCTTAATTTGATTTTGGATTTCTTTTTTTCGTTCTGCAGTAATTTGTCCTATGTCAGAATTTTTTATTACTCGCCACTGTCTGACTCTCGGGTCATTTTTGTATCCCAAGTGAAAAAATGACCCAAAAGTCAGACAGTGGCGAGTAATAAAAAATTCTGACATAGGACAAATTACTGCAGAACGAAAAAAAGACAGTTCGGGATGTTTATATGACGATAACAGTGATGTCGACGTCGAAACTGCATGCATAGAAAATGAATTCACAACTGTTCTTCATAACGAAGACAATGTGTTTACGACAGATAATGTTTAAACAGATTAATTTGTTTATTTGCACTTAATAGGGAAGAACTTAATGCCTGTGTGCCACATTTCATCCAAACAAGTTGGCCCACAAAAGTGGATGATTATGTAACAAACATACCAAACACATTTATAATCTTATATAAATAGTAAATAATATAATAACAACGTATTTATATAGTTATTATAGTATAATATTTAAAAAGTAGCATAACTACGTTTTCAAAATTAAGTCTTCAAAATGTGGGACATTGTCCCACAAATTTAAATTCTTAATATTTCCGATATACCACCGAGTTAAAGCTTGTTATTTTTTGAGTTGATAGTCTACATTATTAAATACATTTTGAACTAAATTATAAACTTTAATATTGCATAACATGAGCACAAAAAATTAAAAACGAAAATCACTAAATCACCGATTTCTCGGTTCCTACAAGCTCTAGGGCAGCCATAGAAGACTCATAATATGGATAAAAATAATACCTTTTGAAATACAATGTAAAAAATAAAATAACTGTAATAGTTTAGACAAAATATTTTTTTTTATTTCTTTTTCACAATGTGGTACAAAAAAAGAAAAACCGGGATTTCGTCGAAACTATTATAGTTAGAATCGTGGGAGTTTTACTCTTGCGCTTAGAATGAAGAGCTTTATCTGATTCACCTTTAATCAAGGGAGTGGTCATTTTGAGGTGAAATAACACAATGTGCGCTGCTGTGAAGAATAATCTACATAATTATAAGGCATTACGCAGCAACCATAACACAAAATAATATCTTCAAATATCTCTTGCCCCATTCATCAATACCTAAGTACAGCTTTCAAGAATCTGTTTTTTTCTACTGTTTCTAGCATGCGGAGAACATTCCGTCAAAAAGAGGTAAGTATTTTTTTTAATTTTTAAGATAATTCACAATTGGGTGTTTTTTCTCCACAAAGAAAATAAAAATCCCCAGGTATGTTATACCAGAGTCCAAAGTAAAACTCGCAGAATAAAGCGCAGGCCACACCGCTAGCTGGCGGGCGAAGCGGACGGCATCGTTTCATGTCTTTTCATACTTGGGTTCACACCGCTAACTAACGAGCTAAGCTACGTCAGCAATGCGAGCGACGTGAGCGAAGCTAACGAAATATCCGTCCAGTGAAGGTCCTCGTTCATCTCGTTTCGCCTGCTTCGCTCGCCCGCCCGCTTCGCTAGATCATTTTACATTATACAAACAAGGAAATTGTTGGACACTCGCGATAAATTCTTCCATGGCGCTTGCAACAATGACGTGCACTATGCAACTGCGCGCGAGTGACAATGGACAGAACGCTACCCTCTCGCTCTCCCATCCGCACCCCCGGCCCGTTCCGTTCGCTTTGTCCGCTTCGCCCGCTCATCCCGCCAGTTTTCGTGAACCCTTAGTTTGGCTCGCCAATATTTCGTGCAGTTTTCTTCGCTCGCTTCGCCCGCTCCGTCCGTCAGCTGGCGGTGTGACCTGCGCTCAAAGAGGTTAGAGTGGCCTTGTGGGCGGGGCAGGCGCGCCACAGTTGACCAAACTTGACCAAAACTTGGTTCTGTTTGCGTTTTTGTTTTCATTGAGTGCGCTGATTAGTTCGATTGGACTGAGCTGATGGTATGATCCTTTACCGAGAATGTTTTTGAAGTTATACTTCTTTAGCCGCGTTATGAAAAAATTATGAGAGTGAAATTTTAAGATGCGCGCGCATCACTGTAACACAAAAGTAACATAATGAAGTTAGCCGCGGGCGCGTTATGAAAAAATCATTTGAGTGAAATTTCGAGATGCGCGCGCATCACTGTAACACAATAGTAACACCATGAAGTTGAATGTTAGTGAAACCACTTAGTGGTTAATAATCCACCATTATTAGACATCTGTTCGAAAGGTACTTTGAACGATCCACGGAGCTCCATAAGATGATCGCGTTGTCAAAAACAATGTTGGCACGCTCGTCGCCTCTGATCACTGTTTTCATATTTATAATATTTATCCACATGTTTCTAGTTTCTATATAGACACAACGTGTTTTAGTTACTTACAAGTGCTAATTACATATGGACTAATAACTTAAATTCAGTAGTGATTTTAATTGAATATTTAAAAACTGAACTTAATTGACTGTGTTAACTATCCTTTTCCGGTCCTTTTATTATTTTATTGTAATTATTTGCATACAATTAAAAAATATTTTTAATCATGCTAAAGAAGTATAACTTCTCACGCGCGTACATAAGTTACACGCATCCATTTTTTGTTATTTACTGGTTAGTTTTTTTTTTGGCCATTTACATCTGAATAACGATTATGTATGTTGATAATTTTCATGTACGTCTTATTAAAACAGAAATTCATAATTAATTGAACAATTCTCTAAAGTCCGTCCCTGGCGAAGCAAATTTTCGTCACCCCAAAAAAGTATATTGTTACATATATCCAATACTTTAGTATTGGATAATTAATAATACTGCTGTTTTCATATACTATATACAAATATATAAAATAAACTCTTTTCATATCGCCTTTGTAAATTGTTTCAAATTTGCCTATTGGTATAAAGATTTTAATGTAGATATTTACGATTAAAAATCGTGAGAAAGAAATTATACGAAGAAAAGCCTCGTGAGGATGACCGATTTCTCAGCCTTTACATGGCAGCACTGATCATTATCATAGACAATAGAACTAGATCAATCATCTGATCTCTGACTTTTGTGCTCTATAGTCTGTGCTCTTGTGATAATCTTGTTGTGTTGATCTTTGTTGATTTGGATAATAATTCTTATTTACTTTGAAAGTACCTAAACAATCGATACCAAAAAATCTAAAGCCATGAAGCTGGATTCCAATAACAAGATGATAAACAACGAAAGCGGTGCGGATACCCCAGAAGAAGTTGTTGATCCACGTCAAAACGCTGAAGACATTATTGACGAGATTCTTGCAGAGTTTACAGATTCGTTAACTCCAGATTCCGCTCGAAATGGAAATGTCGTACCTGAGAATTTATTTAGCATGATACAGCCACCAAGAACGCGGACACCCGCTAATTCGTTTTCCGAAAACGCAACTTTTGATGATATAGATCCATCGTCAGACCTCGGTACATCGATTCGAAACAAGTGTTTGGAATTGGAAGAGATCCTTCAGAGCCTGAAATCGCGCCTCAACCACGTTGTCTTAGACGAGAACATCGTCCTAAGCCCAGAAGCAAATTCCATGGAAGCACAATTGGAGCATGATTTGGATACTGACTGCCAAGAAGACCTTTCCTTACAAGAGTTTCTAGAGCTTCTCCAGTCGCAAAATAAAATATCACAGAGTGGCGTGCAATGATCGCTTTCCGAAAGTTTAGCTGTAAGAAATAACTACATAAATGAATTTATTGTGTGAAAATGAGATTAGATTTTATTAAATCTCAAAACAAAAATTTAGGCCTAGTGAATTAGCAATTTTAATAATGAGAGAAAGTTTTTACCTATAAAGTATGTATTCAATTGCGTTTTATATTATTATTTGAAATAAAATACAGATTTATATAAATAATATCATTCATTTATTAAACTCTTCATTCAAAATACAGATTTTTATTTTAAAAATTAAATAACATTACTTTAGCCTAATTCACATTTCATCAAACAAATCATTTATTTCCTGGTCTATAGTTAATTCAGTACCATCAGGTACAGTATCATTCTCATACAGTTGACTCTCACAACTATTTAGATTGTCGTAAGTGCTCAAATTATTTTCTTCCTTCAGAATAAGATCTAACTGATTGCTACATATCAAGGCTATAACATCCTCAATTTTACGCTCATTAAGAGTTTTTTTAAATTTAATTATCCAATCATTATAAGGAGTAGGATCTGCCTTCACACATTCTGCTCTAAAAAATTTCATAGTTGTTAAAGCTTTACTGTATGTGCCATCCAAATTACAATACACAAGATTCTCTATTGCATCTGTCATTCCTATTGATAAATCTGTTAAAGTTTTGCCATTATCAACAAGTGTTTTGAAGTCATCTACTGGAGTATTTGTTCCAATTTTTGTAACAAGAGTAGGGTTTGCAACTGGAAGCTTAATTAAAGGTATCTTGTCTTCTAATACATGACCATTTGGTTTTTCATCATTTTGAGCAGTTTTATCTTCAGTAACAGTATGCTTGACTTCCTGTTTTCTTTTCTTTTGAATTTTGACCAAAGAAAACATATTTTTTAACTTTTCCAATGGCTCCCTAGATCTTTTTTCAACTAATGGAGGTACTTTGAAAAGCATCATTATGTCATCCCTAGGTTTTGGCAGAGGTTTACCTGGATTCATAGCTCTAAAGGCAATGCAGTCTAAGACATATTGGACAGCTGGACTCACAGTTTCTGCAATGGGGAATGCCTCAGTATCATCAAATGTGTCATCATAAGCTTTAGTTAAATCCATTGCACCAATTAAATCTTTAAAAGCATTTACTTCTTCATCGGAGCATTCAAATCTCTTGAGGTTAGTGCTAGGGAATGTCATATACTTTATTTCATCACTATAACACACCTCTGCCATAGATAGGCATATATAATTATCATTGTCTATCACAGGCATAAGTGCATACATTTTAGGTGCACAGCCTTTGTTATATACTCTACGTACTAGACCAACAAGATTCATCTCATGGAGGCATTCAACAAGACATCTTATAGTGTGTTGAGCTTTTTTATCTCCTTTTCTTCCAAAAACATAAGACAAACCATCACCACGTAAATTTTGCCAGCTAATGTTTGAAGAGTGTGTGAATCCGTATAGCGACAAGCATTTTTCTCCAGAATTGTACAGCAAAGACTTATCACACTCTGTAAAAGGAATAATTTGCTGCCCATAATGGTAACCAGATATAACAGCGTCATGATTAACTACTGTTTGGTTTTCAGTATTCATGTGTATTTTGTTTTTAATGATAGCCTCTGTGGTACTTGACGTAAGGGTAACAGGATCTTTCACTGCCTTCATCCATTTATTGACTGCAGGTTCATCTTTCAGTCTAATATATGATGAAACTGGTATTTTGATGTTGGGTCCAATTGACAAGTCCACATTCCATGGCATTGAATTCACTACTTTCTTTTTATGAAAGAGCAGATATCTCATAGCATCTTTAAAAGATGCTGTAGCCCCATTAGTTGTTTCAATAAATTTTTTTGCCATTTCAATATCTTCTCCCTTCAGTGAGTTGTCTGAGAGATCAGGACCAATAACATCCAATTCAAAGTCGTCCTCCTTGAAACCATTCATCACCTGTGAAAATAAATTCCAATTTTATAAAATACCATTACTCTCTCCTGAAATAATTTAAAGTAAATATTTTTGTCTGCTACTGTAACAGGCTATATAACTCAAATAAATCTGAAGCTGAGCATTACCTGCTCAATGTCACTACCATCAAGGCAGGTCGCTGACATGAAATTTGTAACCAATATGATTTTCTTGGAGGTAAATTTAATGCCACTGATACCATTTTTAAAATGGTCAGCTGCTACTATTAATGCTTCAATCCAATCTCCTCTAGATTTAGATGGCTGAAATCAAACAAATAGAAATATTGCTGCAATTAGATTTGGTTTTTAGCCTGTATTCAGGTGTGTGAAAGATATTGCTCGAATTTGGGCAACCAAGGATATTTACACTGGAATTGGGGCTGGGAGACTGTCAGGTAAACAAAAGGTAAAAAATCTACCTGAATACAGGCATACTTGTTTGTTATTTACCCAAATTCCATTGGCACTCGTATTTGGGCTAACAACCGAATGTAATCGCGCCATAAGTTCCACAGTATATTGTTTAGACTGTTTGGTCAGAGTTTAGTAGGTAAACTAATAAACCAGGACTCAAGAATATACTGCACAAACAAATATATTTAGGTCTACCTATTCAAATTGAAAAGTTGTCAATGATGGAGAACACTAAGTAGTCATTAAATCAGTTCAGAAATAAGTAGATTTATGGGGATAAACATAACAATATTAAAATTGGTTTCTTACTGTTTCAGGTAAATTTCGTATCATTTCCCATGTTGGTTCTTGCAGTTCTAATATCATATCTAAGTGGCGAAAAGCATCATCACACTCTTCTGCCATTCTATTGTGAGTTTTCTTAGACCCCAGCAGTAGTAACCCAACGAGGTTCTTCCCCTGACTCAGAATTTTTCGTTCGATTAATCGGCTGACAAATTCCCTTGCTTCAATGAAGAAACTCTTCTCGTCTTTTTCTTCTTTTTGGGAGACGTTCTTTCCAATATCCAGGATAATTATTGCACCATCGCATACCCTTGGTGCCATTCTTGAGAAGTTTACAACTTTAAAAGTGAGTAACACAGTAACAGTGCGAAGCTGCAAATATATTAACCACAGAACTCGAAACTTTACATTAGCAATGCACTTACTTTATAAAATAAGGTATCTCCGGCTTCTACACAGGTTTAAACTTTATGTACACAGAACTCACAGAAGTAAACCAACAAACAAGAATGAACTTGTTTTGATAGTTTGATAGTTTAAAGTAGGGATGTGAAAAAAAATCGATTATGAAAAAAAAGTTTGGTTTCCTGGCCCGGAGTCCGGAACGAAGTACAAATGAGTAGACTCGTTCTTATCTAAACTTCTTAAATCTCACAACCTTAAATAAGTTGAACTTAAAGAAAAATGACGTTGCCTTAAATGCTTAAAAGTTTTTCTAAGCATATTTGCTTAATGTGAGGGTTCGTTACAAGAAATAGCTTTGCTTTACGTCATTTAAGTGTTAAAAACTTATAAGCCTTTAAGGCATGTTTTTTACATGTTTAGAATTTTTTTTTTTGGTTTTTAAAAATTATAACAAATTTTATTTTCGTTGTTTTTATATGAAAATGATTTTTATAAAAATTGCACTCCGCTGTTTTGGTTACATTGTCTTTTTCTAAAAATTTCTAAATTTTGGTATTCCCGTTTCTCAACATATTGATAATATTTTATTTACATACACTAAATAAATTTAACTGTAATTTTCATCTATTTGCACTGTCAAAAGTCTCTGTCTTTTAATATTTACAATTATTACACCAACATTAATTTAACTTTTAATTTTGATTATTTACCTAAAACAAAAATCAACTAAGAATCGGCTAATATTTTTCGCGAAAAAAGGATTCCGATTTTCGTTGCGTTGCGTTGACTGAGAAAAATAACTAAATAAATAGAACGTAAATTCATTCAATTCATTCATTCGTTTCCTTGTGTTATGTTAAATGCTTGATTTATCCGTGTCGAACGAATTAAGCCTATCGGTAACTGAAATTAAGAGCTAAAATTCAAAATACATTTATTTTCTATTTATTTCTATACTATAATTTTGTTGATTTATGTGAAAAACATTTAAATTTTCCCCTTTTATAATTTGATTATTCTAAAAAATCTTAAATTTGTGTTATTATATGAGACCTTACTTTTTCTGTTACTTATTTTTCATTAATAAATATACTGATTCAGTATTTATGACGTTTATTTTGAAATTGATTGGCAAATTACGGAAAAATCGATTATTATAAATAATCGATTATTTTCTGAAGAAAAATCAATTATTTATTAATCGATTTTTTCATGCTAAGAAAAAACTGATTAATTAAAAATCGATTTTTTATGTACAATAACACATCCCTAGTTTAAAGCAGACTACTGACATCCCTGCCACAGGGCTAAGGATGTGCGATCCGGGTCGTCGATCCGATTTTTCGGATCGTAATGGCACGATCCGATCCGCGGATCGGACTACCTGCTACTAGGCTTCACAAAGCCAAGAATTCATTTAAAGGTCTTTGTGTTCGCTTATACAATAAAGTCCCAAGTAATATCTAAGAGTTAAGCATAAATAAATTCAAAGATAGTATAAAAAAAGCACTTATTAAAAAAGCTTATTACAAAGTGTCTGATTATATTACAGACAAAAATGTTGGGTTTGAACTGTTCCAATCATTCCAACAGATTTTCTATATTAAATAAATCATGATTGTATTGACGTTGTAACAACATAATGATTTGTAAATGTTGTTACATTATGCTTTTAATGTCGTGGAGTTTTTTTCGCTCGTTTTTCTCCGCAGCTAAAAAATATGTCCAATAACGAGTGGTCGGGAAAAAAAATGTTTGGACGATTCAAAAGTGTTGTACTATACATCCAATTTGAATAAAGATATATTGATTTCTGATTTTATTGTAAACCAACCGCGTTTTAGTTCATACGATCCAAGCGATCCGATCTTTCAAGTTTTGTAACGATCCGGCAAAAAATCTTATGGCTTCGAACGGATCATATGCCTTCCGATCCGATCTTTCAAAGGATTGGATCGGATTGCCGCATCCCTACGCAGGGCCAATCTAGGGTGCACGGTGGTAGGGGCAATATTGGCTTGTCTTTACACACAATCACATGTCTGCTATTCAGTGTTCGGGTTAAGTTGAGCTAAACATACGTGTTGATAATGGCCCCAGTATCATCAAAAAATCAAATGACAGGTAGGTAGGGCCTTGGGTCTTTCTATGGTGTTAGCACAAAAAAGGAAATACTCGGTGCAGCATTGGCAACAGAAAGAAATGTATTGTAAATAAATAATGTTTGTTTTTTTTATCCCATAAGTGGTTCCGGTATTTATATACAGTAGAACGCCGATTATCCGAACGCCGATTAACCGAATCGCCAATTATTCGAATCGGTCCTAAGCGTAATATAAAAAATTAAAACCAAGTCATTTTTGTTTTGTTCTAATAAGTTGGAACTCGCTAAAGTCCAGCGAGTATGTTAAATACCTATATATATTTATATCAACTGTTAATGGTTGAAAGCTAGAGGCAAGACACTACATGTTTTACTGTTCTTAATTTTGTTTTGCTACTATGTACCTCTATTATTGTATCTAGTATTGTAGAACTGTGTTTGTTAAACGTAATAAAGTTTATTCTATGTGTGGCAGTTCGTTTTTCTTTATTACTTGTCTATGTCCGATTATCCGTATTTTCGATTATCCGAATCGACCCCGGTCCCAATTAATTCGGATAATCGGCGTCCTACTGTACTTCTATCACTCGAGACCCAACTTCATGCTCATTATGATCTGCCGCCATGCCGCAGGGCCAATTTGGAAAATTGGCCCTGCTTGCCTACACACATCACAATTCAGGAGGCAAATAAGGGTTATTCCCACTCTTACACCCTAAATTGTCCCTGCGGCAGGCATGTCAGTAGGCCGCTTTAGTCAGTCAGCAATCAGTACGTAGGTACGTACGTAGTATCTAAGTAGTCCTAAAAGTCCTAGTCTGTGGCATTTGTGGCAAGGCAATCAGTCAGTCACTGGGAGTGTGGGAGTTTTTGGCGGGATTTCATCGAGTGTGGTTGGCGTCTTATTTTAATTATTCTTAAATTCGTTCATAGTGGATACTGTGAAATAAAATTAGTGTGATTTTGTGTTACAACTGTCTGCGTAACTGAAGAATTAGTAGAATCGTCAAAATATACGCTATTCCGGTCAAGTGGACGTGAGAATTTTATTGCAGTATTGACTCAGAGAAGCTTATCGAAAAAGCCAGCTCGATACATTTCGTGCCAAACACTTCAAGGTACCATAGAATGCGTCACACCGACATTATAATGTAAAAAGAAAAACAGAATAATTTAACTTAAGACTAGGCTGTATGGGCATTGTTCCCCTTGCCTTCCCTAAATAGGGAGAACATAACAAAAAAAAAAAACAGTCAGTCACTTTGTGTGGTGTAGGTTTATTTTTATTTACACAAACCAAACAAAAACTAAACAAATCCATTACTTATACCGATCACGAGTTGAGAAGTTTTAAAAATTAAAAAAATCTAGTTAACAATAGTGTTAATCACTTTTTAATAAATAAACTAGTTTTAATAGATAAACTAGTTTTAATTCTCATAATGTCTATAAGCAATAAAAGTAAAATTTTAACTGAAATGATGAAGTTCTCCTTTCACCACAGGGCTTTTTATTGCTATCTTGGTATGAGTTTGTGGATTTTCATTCTTATAACAGGTAAGCTCTGAAACAACAACATTGAAGTCAATATAATTTTATGACAGCTTAAATATCCTAAATTCATGTTTGTATCATCATAAATTTTAATAGATTGTGTGTGTGCTAGATATATTTTCACATTCTTCCCAGAAAATCTTCATGCCATTTATATCCCTTGTGAAGTTTGCTGAGCAACACTACCTGTGTTGCTCAGCTAGCTTCTTAGTAAAAAGTGTATAAACCTTAAAATTGTTATTAAATACTCTTCAGAACAATGAGTGTTATTAATTATTTAGCTTACAACTGTACTTTGTGAGCCTGGGAATTAACACTTCACACTATGTTGGGTTAGGTTAGTTACTAGAACAACTGTTTTCCCTGAAAAAAAAATCATAAACCTTTATAACAAAAAATGTAAAGTGCCGACTCTTGGTACAAGAAATACATTTTTACTAGAGATCTCTGAAATTAGTTTCACATTTGGTATTACCGAAGTTCAGCAACTTTTACTGAACTTTGTTTTTGGCCAAATTTTGGTTATATATCATGAGTGTTAGCAGAAAGAATACAAGTGAAAAGAAATGTATTTCAAAATGAAATCTTGATCAAATGATGATTTGTAAGCAAATAGGTATAACTTGGATGATCTTTAGTGTTTGTTTTTATTGCACTAAACAATAGAAACGTGAAGTATCAAAATATGATTTGTATTAAATTATGTATTGTAATAATTAGCAAGGTAACATAACATACTTACTTCTTTGTAACTTATTTTAGATAATAATAATTAGAATTTTAGTATTTATTTAATGTAACAAAATAATATATAAAATTTTGTCCATTGAGCCAGAGTACGTGAAATTTAATGGAATTTCCGACATTCGACTTTGGCAAATATTCAAACTGAATATTTGGCTTAATTCAGTATTTGGCAGGACCCACATTCAGTGCAACACTAATTTATTACTCCTTTTTATCATATAGACTACACTACAATTTTTTGTCTAATTGCAGTTATGTACAAGTATATGGCAGTAGGGGAAGACACAGTATCTGTCAAAAAAGTGGCACAAACTGAATACATATCAAAAAGTGATCTGAAGTTCCGAAGGATATACATTAAAGCCTGCACTCCACCTGAAACTATTGTGCGAGGAGCTGAGGGTAATCATGTTTTTTATATCAGAAATTATTATGTTGATACATATTCTAGAAACTTAAAGTAGGTAGCTTGCATTCAGCATCAGAAGCATGACAATGGCTGACAATGATGCAAAAAATAGCAAAAAAATATAAAAAAAATCTACCAATCAATAAACACAGTCTGGTAATGAACCGAGTTGAATACTGATGAAATTTAAAGAGTTCATCAAAAGACAAAATTCAACATGTTAATATAATTGACAATTATTTAATAATTAAAAAGAATAGCTAAATGTAGCTAAATAATTTTATCTGGAGAGTCACCACTAATATCAAATTACAAAACAGGGATATCTAACTCAAGACTAAAGCACCAATTAAATAAGTTTATAACTACATATTACTAAAATTGTAAAAGGAAAACTTAAAAAGAGTGGTGACATTTTCAGGAATAGTGGATAGCGAGACTTGGCTGCTTCAGGGTGTGCTAGTGGCGACCAGACACGGCGATCGTGGGCCCCTCACTCATCTAAAAGGTGGTGACAAACTACCATGTGATACAAAACCAGAATCACCACTTTTGAAGAGGTAATATGATCTTGCTTCTGTCAAATAAAACATTTATCCTATAGCTCTATGTATGGCTTAAACATTTTATTGTATTTTTTATTGTATTGTAGTTCAGACTTCAGTTCTTTCAGAATTTTCAATGTCCATTAAATTATAATATGGTGGTATTTTAGTGTGTTTATTTATTATTTTGTAACTTTGATAAATATTCATAGAAGAAGATTAGCTGTAACGAAATGTAGGTGCAAAAATTAATTTAGGATGTTTGTCAGAAAACTGCATTCATATTGTCAAAACAGAAAATCACAATGGTCCAAAAAACAAACATTATTCATTTGTTACTACCATGAGTAGTATCGGAAAGACATGAATGGATATGAAAATATGTCTTTATTTTTTTACTGTAAAATGGGCGCCCGAATGTTGGCGAACTCGACGCCTCGGCCTAAATAAGACCTAATATCTTATATATGAGATGAAAGAGATAGTTATTAAACTGTCAGTCCCAGTCTCGTTTAAAGCGAATGAACTTTTGTATCGCTTCTCGTTGGCCGCACTTTACTAACATCACGGTCGCCATTAAGTTCGAATCGGACATTACAGTACACACGCACACCCATGAATGAGTCCTTAAGCTGCGTATATACTAGACGAGCCGAGCACGAGCGGAGCGCAAGCCGAGCCGCTCGCTCGCAGTCTCAAGTGTGGACGTGCAACGAGCCTACAACAATCACTCTCCTCGAGCGCACTGCGAGTGCTACGCAAATCCCTTTGTGTTCGTCAAAAAACCGACAACGGGTCGAGCACGAGCCGAACGCTCGAAGCGCGCTCGTTCGAGGCTCGTAAGCTAGTCCACACTACACGAATTTCGGCTCCGCTAGTGCTCCGCTCGTGCTCCGCTCGTGCTGGGCTCGTCTAGCGTATACCCAGCTATATACTGTGGTATCGTGCAGTTACGAGGAGTTCGTGATGAACGCGAGCACTTCCGGTCGCGCGTGGTGGGTGGGGGGTGCGGGACCGTTCCACAACTTCCCTTCATTACCTCCTCGTGCTGCCGGCACTCACTGTGCGCTCGGACAGCTCACCGCACGCGGCCTACTGCAGATGATCATCGTCGGTAAGCTCCTCACAACGATATTTATTTATTTTTTTGTTTTTGGAAGACCAACAGCTATTATTAAAAATAATAAAAACTTAAATAATAACAAAAAGCCAATTACAGGTCTTCACCAATAAAAACAATTACAACATAATTGAGCACACTTTTAACATAATAATTACAAAGAAGAACATTGTACAATTGCCTATTCGTCAAATGCACTGCTCAATACCCGCCTCAGTGATGGAACGCTTGTATAAAACAAATCAATGCCAGTTTTCTCAGATATAACATTAAAACAATAAAATACCCTAGATACACATACACGTGCGCTCAAAATGTGTCTCAATCAAGAAGTGCTTGTACACCACTCAAGTACTTCTTGGTTCACAGTCACGCGCGGACCGTTGAAAAGTCAAGAGGCCGGAAAGTTCCTTTCAAAAGTGCGAAAATAACACTTATAATACGTAAAGTGTCCTTTTTTCCACACGTATCTAATCAAATCTTTGTTAATTTAACACTATTTGAAGCCAATTTTGTTCTAGTACAGTCGCCATCAGATATATCTGAGCATACAAGGTGACCAAATACATCTGAACAGTTAAAATGTCATTAAGTTCTATACGCTACAAGTGACCATAAAAATCTGAACATTCATTACTTCAATAATATCTGAGCAGATGCCTGTCAATAATATCTGAACATACAACTTTTCAAAAATATCTGAACACGTCAATGATTATGTATCTACGCAGATCATGCACTGGGCTTACATATTTTGTTACTGCGTGATTGAAAGGATGAACTAAAAACAAAGGCTAAATATAAGGAATAAATACGATGAGAAGGGAATAAAAATCTATCAGAAAATCATTCGTGTAGGGTCACCACGAGTAGTAGAAATGGAAGATGCCTAATTTTTTCTCTATTTATTTTTTAAAATTAACGAGAAGTTATGTTTTTATTTTATTCTATAGATTAAATTCTCAATATCTCCTTAGAAATTTATTTCAAAATAAGACAACTGCGTTTTTTAACCGCAATAGAAATAAGTAATAATTTGGAGGAAACATTTGTCCCACTATTTCCATTGCAGTGGAAAATGGAATTCTGTACTTATCATGCTCAAACTGGGCGCCATTCTTACAGAAATTTTATTTACTCTCTGAGTGGATGTGTTTGTTTGGTTTGGGTATGTATTATTTATAAAAGTGAAAATTAATAAAAAACAATTTTAATTCTTATAATTTTTTATTCAGTTAAATAATCAAAAAATGTAAACGAATTAACTTGGTACCTACCTCAGTAGATGCTTAAGCTTAAGTATTTATTATTATAATAAAATTATAATCGAGATCGAAATAAAAAAAAGCAACTTCTGATACAATGAGTTTAAAATTAAATAGTAACAAAATGTTTTATTCTTATAATTAGTATAATGATACATGAGATCAAATCAAAAAGTTATCAGGCAATTAGTAAGGTTCTTAAAATTAGCGTATTATTATTAGCTTAATAATTTCCCAATATTATCAATGCCCGTTTAGACGGGAATTTCTAACAGACGTAGACGGTCGTAACGTATATTGTCGACTTGTTCTAAGTGACCACCGTTTTTTTAATACAAAATTTAACACGTATAGGTAACTTACTAATAAATAGAAATAGAAAATAGTGTTAGTTTTTTTTTTCAAAACGACCGGGTTCGATTCCCGAGCTGACCACAGGGTTTTTCTTAAATGTATGAATGCAGTTTTAATTTTTATTAAAATCGATGACATAGTTCCTAAGAACAGATCTTTGTATATATTATAGTTCAGACTTTCCCATACTGACCCATTTAAATGAGCCATCTTGTATACTCTCATATTAAATTTTTGACCATTATATAATTATTTGCCGAACAAGGATTGCTGCCTGATTTTTTAAATTGCTTACAAAATCTTTTTGTGCCGACCAAATTATTTAAAGGCTGACCAATTATATACTTCTCATGAAACATTAGTATTTTGTGTAACCTCCTTCTGCATTTAATACGTCTTGTAAACGTTTCCTCATGGAACCAACTACCTTCTCACAAAAACCTCGACCTCTGAACGATTCCCAAACATCATTTGCATGTCGCCTTAAGGCTTCTGTTGTTCGACATTGATTCCCATCCCACTCTTGCACCATTTTACCCCAAAGGTTTTCGATGGGATTGAGGTCTGGACTTTTTGGTGGTAGTTTGATTAAAGTTAGTTCTCTCTGTTCATTAATCCATGTCTGTACTGTACGAGCATTATGTACTGAGCTGTTGTCTTGAAGGAATGTAATTTGTTGTTCTGGATAAGAAACTTGAGCTGTAGGAAGAAAAGTATCTTCCAGAAGTTCCTTATAATTCATTGCATTCATTCGTCCACTTATTTCCACAAGCTCACCAGGACCATCTTTGCACATCCATCCCCAAAATCCAATTGAAATACGTCCACTCCGGCGATTAGGCAGCACATTTTGTTCTAAGTAACGTGTGTTTTCGGGTCGCCACAAACTTAATCGCCCATTTTCTCAGAAATCATCAGCAGAAAACCTTTTCGTCCATGAAAATAACGTTTAAAAATTAAAATTTAAATAATTAGCTGCAAATTGTAGCCGCTGCATTTTGTGCCTTGGCGTGAGAGTTGGTTTTCTTGCCGGTACTCTATTATTTAAACCTCCTTCTTTTAATCGTCTTCTAATGGTGCTAGTGGATATTTCGAATGTGCTTGAAAATTGTGTAGTGTTTATAAATCTGTCATTTTTGGCTTTATCTATAATAGCTATGTCTTGGTTATTTGTAGTACGCGGGCGACCAAATGAAACATGATTATTTAATGTTTCTTCTTGCTGCCATCTTTCTAGCCATAAATATACAGTATTTCTCTGAAATAAATACAATTTTATACTTTGTGAATAAAGTTTCATGTTTTGTGGGCAATTGATTTTTAGCATTTTTCTCCGTGATACTTACGGCTATCCCTAGCTCATCGGCGATATCTTTTACGGATAAACCATCATTTTTTAGTTGTATTATTTTATGTTTCATTTCCGCATCAATACGGTACGAACTCATATTAATTATAGTTAATTTATGGTATGAACTAATACGTAAGCAAGCTGCTTGAATTTATTTGTGCATGACACATGACAGAGGTGATAAGAATAAAAACCGGAAAGTGTTTAACTGCCAGCGTCATCTTATTATAAATAAATAATTAAGAGGTCCTATTTAAATTGTTCAGATATTTTTGAAAAGTTGTATGTTCAGATATTATTGACAGGCATCTGCTCAGATATTATTGAAGTAATGAATGATGAGATATTTATGGTCACTTGTAGTGTATAGAACTTACTGACATTTTAACTGTTCAGATGTATTTGGTCATCTTGTATGCTCAGATATATCTGATGGCGACTGTACTTACTATAAACTGATTAAATAGAAAATATTTGTGATATTCAAATGCACTGTCGGTAATATAGCCGTCTCTATTCCTCGTGATCCGTACCTGCTATTTTGCTAACAGCGCATTCAGAATTGCGCGTAGAGATAAAGAAATAAGGTCTATATTCTTCCGCATATAGCAATAAGACGTAAATTTTATATAAAATTGCATTTCGAATTGTCATAACTCTTTGACGCATGCGTTTTAATTAAGAGCTTATGTTAAATGCATTAAAAGTGATTTTCAATCGGGGATAACCATTCTCCGTGTTACCGAAGACTTATGATAAATAACTAAAAGCAGTTTTTTTTTATTAGGTCTATTAGGTTTTTTTTATATAGGTCCGATAAATGATTCCGCCCCACCTGATGTTAAGTGACGGTGAAGTCCAGACGTGAAGATAGCTGGTACAGCAGTTCTACCTGCCACACCAGCCATCCTTCCCCTTCCGGCCTGCATGTTGGTTCTTTACGGCTCTTTTAAATGATCCCAGGTTGTAAGAGGGAGGGAATACGTGAGCGGGTAGAGCAATCCATTCTAATTTATATCTACATTTTAACTTTATTATGCATTAAAGTTCTCACCGTAAACTATTTATTTATATTTTCAGGTAATATTCTGCGAGAAGCTTATGGAGATAAGTTGAATTTGGAGAATGTAGAGCAAGGAAAAAAAGATACAGGTAAGTTTTATTAAATATATTTTGGAATGATGTTTTCTATAATATGACCTATGTAAGTCTGTCAATAAATAAAGTGTATAGGTAGACTTCTATGTAAGTTGACGACTACGACGACCTTAGGTCGTATTTGTATTTCAACTTATTAATACTAGGCAGGTAGGTGCCCACGACTTAGCCTGCACAGATTAATTTTGTTTTCCATACATAATATCATACGCTATTTCACCCACATTAAGTATTATTTTCGCGGTAAAAAGGACTTTATTTTGTATTCAAGATCCCATTTATTTTCATTAGAAAATCGATTTATACAGATATACTTTTGTATTTAATATTTTATTTTAATATTGTCATAGATAAATAATTGGTCTACTGTACGCCAGGAAAACCATTTAATGACATCGTAAATAACTTGACCCACCATATAACAATATTAAATACCCTAGATACACCACGTGCGCTAAAAATGTGTTCCTATCAAGTAGTGCTTGAACTCCACTCAAGCACTTCTTGGTTCACAGTCACGGGTGGACCGTTGAAAAGTCAAGATGCCGCAGAGCTCCGTGAAAAAATGCCAAATAAAATACTTATAGTACGTATATTGTCCTTTTTCGACAGATATCTAATCAATGTTTGTTAATTTAACGCATTTGAAGCAAATTTTGTTTTAATACTTACTATAAACTGATTTAATAAAAATTATTTGTGATATTTAAATGCATGGTCGGTAATATAGTCGTCTCTTTTCCTCGTTCTCCAGTTCGTACCTGCTATATTGCTAACAGCGCATTCAGAATTGCGCCTAGAGACAAAGAAATAAGGTCTATATTCTTCCAAATATAGCTTTAAGTCGTAAAATTTTACTAACTTTAGTCTCGCACTGCCATAACTCTGCATGCGTTTTAATTAAAACCTTATACAGTGTGCTTTAAAGGTGATTTTCAATGTTTAAATAATGCCTTATATTGTTTAGACTACGCAATCATCTCACGGGGCTCCGTGGATCGTCCAATGTACCTTTTGGACAGGTTTCGGGCATGATTTTGTTCGTGTTGGTGTATCTAAGGTATTTGATATCGTTGCCACCATAATGTGGATAGTTATACTAATTATATATTAACTATAAAAAGTATTGAGCACTTATTGCAAATTCAATTTGAATTTAATTTTAAAATAATAATTAGCGCTTTCCCATATGTAAAAAAAACTTATCTAGAGAACAGAACAAGGTATCTTGTAATTTAACCTCGCGCTCTTTTTTTTCTTTTACATTTTTAATCTTGCTAATATATAAAATTCTCGTGTCACGGTGTGCGTAATTGAACTACTCCAAAATGGCTCGACCGATTTTCGTAAAATTGTTATGCATATTCAGTAGGTCTGACAATCGGACAACATCTATTTTGTATCCCCCTAAATGTTAAGGGTAAAAATAAAAATACCCATAATTTTTTTTGAACAAATTTTTTTGTTATTTTTACAATATAAATATACAACTCTAAATTTTCACCCTTCTACCACCAACCCCTATTTTTTATGGCAGTACGAAGTTCGCTGGGACAGTTAGTAACTATATAAAAGAAAATGAGCGTGAGGGATTTCAAAACCTTCGGCGGTCAGAAATACCGAAATGAAATCATAATCTATAGCAATCCCGATAGGCGATTGGCCCCTAGGAAGGTTCGCCAGGCAATGGGTGGTTGGTGTGATTTGACCTATTGTATTGAGGAGCTCGATGGCGCAGGTGGTTAGGGCGTTCGGCTGCGATCGTTGAAGTTAAGTAACTTTCGCAGTGGTCGGTCATTGGATGGGTGACCAAAAATTTACCATCTCGAGCTCCTCCTTGCTTCGGAAGGCAAGTTAAGCTGTTAGTCCCGGCTGCATCTGCAGTCGTCAGCACCCATCAATCCGCACTGGGCCCGCGTGGTGGGTCATGGCTAGGGTTGCCACCTTTTATTTTTGTCGAAATAAAGTACATTGGATATTAAAGGTAGAAAGAAAAGTATATTGTGTCCAAAATAAAGTACTTTCTATTCCACTTTATTAGTAAGCTTAAAAATATATTTTACGTTGCTACTAGCAACTTTTAATAAATAATTTGCGGCTACTGTGATACAAGGCTGTGATGAAAAGTCATGATACAAAGGAACACAGCCACGAAAATGTTGCAGGAATTAACTAAGGGCATCATATTCATACTTTCTGTCCGTTTTACGCAAAAAAAAATCCTATCAACCTCTTTTTGTAAGTTATCAAATCACATTAAATAAAGTATTTTCGCGTACTTTATTGTTGGCATAAAGTATAGACTACAATTACCCAAAATAACGTACAATACTTGGCAACCCTAGTCATGGCCCAATCTCCCTATTCCATTCATAGGGAGGGCCTGTGCCCCAGCAGTGGGGACATTAATGGGCTGATGATGAGCTATTGTGTTCGTCGCGTAGGCGTGGTGGTGTCGTACAGCACGCGGTACAGACGCACGTTCCAGTCGTTGGTGGGAGTGTGGTGGGGGGCTGCGGGGGCCCGGGGCGCGGGTGGTAGGGCCGCGGCCGCCCGAGAGGCTCACAGCGTCTCTTTCTGCTTCCGAGACTGCGCCTGTCCTGCGCATCCGCATCTTAACAAGTATGTTTATAATGTTTATGTACAACGAGGAATCCTCTGAATTTGATCTCTTTAATATCTTATCTAATATATATAATTCTCGTGTCACAATGTTAGTTACCAAACTCTTCAATTCAATATATTTATTGTTTCATGTGGTAATGACAATTTCTTAGATTTAGAGTCGGATCCAAACATGAACCCTGTAAGGGCACTACAATATCAATATACATAAAATAAACAAAATACACATAATTATAATCAATCACATTAAAATTTTAGATTACAAGTACCAGCTTTTACCTTTCAACAAAAACTCTTGCATACTATAGAAGGTTTTATTCAATAAATATTGTTTCAAAATTTGTGCAAACTTTTTAACGTTTTGTTCTACGATTATATATTTAGGTAATTTGTTATATTTTTTTATTGCGTTTATTTGTGGACCTGAACTATGGATTTTTTCTATGGATTATTCCGAAACGGCCTGACCGATTTTTATGAAATTTTATATGCATATTCCGTCGTTCTGAGAATCGGCTACTATCTATTTTTCATATCCTTAAGTGATAATGGTTGTCCATCTGTAACACAGTGTTCTGAAACCCACAATGAGCCTACGCGCCAATATTCAAACTATTGGGTATTGTAACGTAGTGTTCTCATATGGGTTAGGAGGAATGTTATCCCAGGAAATTGATAGAACACTATGTTACACACCCCTAAAATTTTACTGGACAATATTTTTTTTATAATGTGGTATTAAAAAATACATACAACCCTAAATTTTCTCTTCTACCACCTGCCCCTATTTTTATGGCGGTACGAAGTTTGCTGGGTCAGCTAGTGTGATATAAATATTTCGTCATACAATTTTGTACTGTAATGGTTTAGTTTGGATTTTCATTAGCTGACCATGTCCTAACTTCAGATCTGTTTTCATATTGCGTTTAGGCATTGTTAGGTCTATTTCATAAAAAATGTTTAACATAAGCTCCTTTTGTAAAATATATGACTGTTTGTTGTCAAAATAATAATAATAAAAAAATGGAGTTGAAAAAGAAATCTAGTATCATTTTCACGTGGACCAACGAGGCTTATTGTCGGTTATCTACAAAGAGAAGAGATGGCGCTGCCTTGCAGCTTAAGAAATACTAAAGAAAATTCGACACGGCCATTAGCGCCGCGGTAGCATAATGGTCAGTTCATCCGCCCGCATAGCGGAGAGTACGGGTTCGAGCCCCGTCTGCTGCCTGGTCCGCGTGGAATTTTCTCTAGACTTAACTTAAAAGCTCAAAAAATAAAAATATACCTATGTATATTTCAGCAACATACCATTCATGTACTTAATACATTGTAACATAGTTCCAGTGCACACAACACTTTAGCCAGGGCCGGATTTTAGGCGTGGCTGTGGCTCAAACACAAAAGAGAGAAAATCGCAATCGTCGGTTCCGGCCTTGAATTAGGGGCCTAAACTCCTTCGTTACCATAGGGCAACATCTAAATTCGGCCCTCACTAGAGCATATCACTATCACCATTTTTAAAACGTTCTCTGTTGTATCACCGATTTGTAGTAGGTCCAAGATTTTTTTGCGTTGGGGAAAGAAAATGGAGTTGTCATTTGATGATCTTTTTGCATTACACTTCATCACTTATTTTTGCTTTTTCTTTTTCTTTGTAGATCCAACGATGTCTGGATATACTATCTGCAAACCCTATATGATACCGCTGTGTTTGCATCACGTTACTATGTTTGCATCGCGTCTCAATAAGGGCTTACTTTCAGCTCCTACACATACTCATATAATACATTCTAGTTTTATTTCAGCATTAACTTGCTTGCTTCATTTTGTATTCGAAAAAGATTCTTTTCCGAAGATTTTTTTTATTTTTTTTTATTGATTTAGACGATTTCATAACAGAAAATTTCATTTGTAATTTCATAAATGGTATTTTAAAGTTATCACAAATTTTAACCACCAACCTATTTTGTATTACAGAAAAATTAATACGCAAGCGAAAAACCGTCTAGAATCACATCCAGCTATTAAGGAATTGATTATCAAACTTTCTAAAGTCTTATTCGAGTCCCAAGAGCATACAGACGCAGACGTAGTAAGAGACGCTCTTCTAGCTTACATGTGCCACGACGCTCCCTTACCCTGCAACGAGAAACCTAAAAAACCAAACATTAAAATGCACAAATCCAGGAAATTGCGAGAAGATAACGCCCCACTCAGGAGCTTGCTAGACGTCGACATTGACACCTTAAACATGGAGCTGGACTATATAAACAACCAGCTGGATTTCAACAACGAAATCGGGAGGAAAGCCAGGGACATCATAGGTAAGTATTACGACAATAGAGATAAGCAAAAAGCCCCCTTAGATTTCGACGCGCAAATGGAAAGAGAGAAGCTATTGTACTACCAGCAGAGGTATATGGACAGCGGCGACACGTACGACGACGTTGTTATAGTTAAGAAGAATCTGGATGCCGATTTCAATTTTCCCAATGACGCGAGAATGGACACCGACTTCGATGAAGATTACAGAGAACCAACCCCGGAGAACACTGAAGACTTTTGCATTGGCAAAGATCATGTGATGTCACTGTTCGCGTATCTAGAATGGAGTTATCGGCAAGAAATCAAGAACGTCCATAACAGGAGACGGGGCTTGCTCGTAGCGTACGGTCTGATACACAACATAGTCCAGAATATGATACGAATGATATCGGAGAATAAACCAAAGTTCGTCTTGTATTCCGGCCACGATAAGACATTGCAAGCGTTGATATTAGCTTTGGGACTGAACAATTACCAGCACTACAACATACAGTACGCGTCGAGAATGATATTCGAAGTTTACAGGAAGCGTGATTTGAGAGATGAATTTAAATTTACCAAAAGGAAAGCTGTTGCGCAAGATTTCTACTTCCGCGTCGTTTACAACGGGGAAGATGTTACTAATAAGCTGAGCTTCTGTAAACCGCGCCAGATTGTTGTGATGGAGGTCGTTGACCCCGCTGAGGAGACAATGCATAAAACTTACCTCTGCCCCATAGAAAGCATTGTCAGATTTATACATGACGATTATTTCGCACCGTTCAACGTCAGTAATTACAAAGATGCGTGCGCAACGTATGGCAGTATGAAACATATCTAACGAAGTTCTATTGTTGTTTAAAACTCTGATATTAATTTGTGCCATTTACAATTAGCTATGCAAAATATCACCTGTTGAATTACATTTGGATTTTATATACACGTTCAAATATTAAATTCGCAATGAAGTAAATGAAACAACCACCATTAGGGTAAACACTTTGATTAAAAGAAAAAGGGAAGATACAGTACGCTCATACTATCATGAAATAAAATATGATCCGACTCAACTACATAAGCAACTTTCACACACGCACACTTCTGTGAATAAACATTAAATCGAGCGAGCAAGACAGAATTGTACGCTTCAATACTTTGAGCCGCGATTGCTGTATCTTCCCTTATTGTTTTAATCTGAGGGTAAACATTATGATTTGCATGCAATATAAGGTGCCATTGTATCTTATCATTTTAAACGATCTGATGAGCATGAGCACCCCTATATGATATATAACTCGGATTTATCACGCTCAATTGTCAAATTACTATGCAAATTGACAGTTAGACGCGATAAATAACGTGATTTAACGTAAATTAAGGTGCTGATGCTACGGGGACTGGGTATGATAAAGGTCTTCGAAGCATTAATTCAATGAATGGTTGTTTCAAGCCCTGTAACTTTCTATGTGTATAAGTTATTTTGCTTTATGAAAACTACAACTGTTTCGCAAAAAATTAATTATCCAAAAACAGAACGAAGTATTTGATAAAATTAAAGTGAAAGCATTTTTAAATAAAATACGTTACAATCAGTTGTGATTCGTTGGTTAATTTTGCAAATATTTCGTTCTTACCGTGGCCATATTTTTAGATTAACCAAAAACATCCTAAAACACGTTATTTTTATTGTTTTCATGCAGTTATAAAATAATGTTGACGATGATGCCATACTTATATTCGAAATCTTTAAACAAGTTGTTGCGATTTGACAAATGTAAGCATTTAAAATTGAGAAAAAATCGCGTACACTCCAGTACCTAGTTTTTAATTATAGTTTTTAAAAATGCAAAAGGCAATATTTTCGATGTCGCCATTACTGAAAAATTGCTGTAATTTAATTTTCTATTTTGATATTCCGTGACCTGATTAGATCTCGTATTTATTGAAATTCTATCCTTTAAGCCTTTACTGTATTTAATTAATTATATTTTAGTTATAGGTTAAGTGATCTCCTCTTAGATTTTACTTTTACGTAAGTAAGTACTTAAAATTGGTTGTCTATTATTGTAAACATATCTTTATTCATATACATTCTCCTTTATTCTATAATCCCTTTTTTAATTAAACAAAGAATAAGCTTGGATTAGTTACTCCATGTTTTGTCTCTTTTCATTGAATTACAAACGGCACTTGAGTGATATTACTAGATAAAAGGTCGGTGGGATGTGCTCAAAGAAAAAAAAACGACGAGTTGCACTCCGGGAGTGCCGGTAGTGAAAACTTGAATATTAACGTTGTGCATTTTTGATGTTGTGGAATGGTCAGGGAATAATTTTGCACGAATTGCTTTAATTATCAGTATAAAAGAACTATCATGTATGTGGTAGAATACAATATTTATTTATTGCGCTATCGTACACAAACATGGCAATTTATATTACATTTATAAAGTTTATCTCTCAGAAAAATCAACTTACATGAATAACGTTTAAGCGCACTTAGCGACATCCATTGTAAAGAAATCAACTTACATGAATCACATTTTAGCGCACCTAGCAACATTTATTGTAAAAAAACGCTGCTAAAGAAGTTTTCACTTCAATAATATAATAAATTAGGTTCTTAGAACCTCTTCAACTTCCTCTCCTGCTTCTGCATAATCCCTGTCGAACACTTAGGAAGCAGGAATAATATTGTCTATAATTTGTTTTTCGTTCACAGTATATTGTGCAGATTTTACAAAGGATGAGCCCGACGCTTCTAAGCTGATGAGATATTCTGTAACTGTTTTCTTGATGGATTGCCCGAGATTTCCTACCGTATCTCCCTAGTAGTTGGCAAATAATGAATGTAGATGGCTCCCCACTGCATCAGCATCTGTCAGCAATATAAACCGGTCTCTCTGTAAGGTTTTGGTTTGATGAGCTTTACAGCGTCACCGGGTTAGGGGAGTACGGCGAGATCCTACCTCAAGCCGAGAATTAGCGAGTGCCTCTAGAGGTATTCCAGGCGGATGGCATCTTCCTACGGGGGAGTCTCCTCTCCTCTAGACCACTCGAACCTGAGGGGAACAATTAGCTTAATACCTCCTTCCTAGATGTTTACTTACTTGTGTGGTAGTTATGAGGCTCTTCTCAAACACCACAACCAGTGCTTGGATGAATAATCGGGCAGCATCAATATCCGAAATGGAGTCTGGAGAAAATATATCATTAATAGTATTTAAACACTGATCACCATCTAATATTCTAATTTTATCTGTATTCTCTGATTGTGAATTTGAGTTTATTTATCAGCAGTCTGGGGATCCTTAGTATTATCGTCAATAAGCATCTGCATTGATTCCAGCTCCATCTGAAGAGATCGGCTACATTAACTTACATGGATGTAGCTGCGTGCGCCCTGCGATTCTTTGAGACATGATAAGACTTTGGCTTAAGTCTAATGTCTTTAGAGATCTGGCCTTGGATAACTTATGATACACCAGGATGTATTTTCAGATAATGTTTCCGGATTACGAGTTTTATAAAACTACAAAAAATCCTGTGCTTGTATTTCTTTATTAGCTTTGTGACTTCATATGAACTTCTGACTTCATATAATATGAATGGCGTAACTAGTCTTAGCTTATTCCTCGTTTATTAGTGGTTTTTAGACATATTTGGAATTAACATATCCTTAATCAGAAACTTTTGAGACTGGACCTTTTATTGTATAAATTCCTAATTTATTTAATGATTAATTTTAGGACCATAAATTTATTTATGCAAATGGAATATCGTTTATAAATTCGAAATGAAGAATATTATGTGATTTATGATGAATAGTATTAAAATGTACCTGTTGTATTGCATTTTTCAAGAGAGGAATGTAAATTATACGACTTAATTTTATTGTCAATATATCGTCAAAATACATGAGGGCTAACTTTATATTGTTAAAGTTGCCTGATTCACATACAAAAATGACTACACTTATGGACACAAACAAATAAATTGTCGAAATTGTAAAAGTTTTTTTTATTACCTTATAGCATTTACTCCAATATTTTTACTAAAATATTTGTATTTTTTGACGATCTTTTAGATTTTCTTTTATTTACACTTTATCATTAATTCTTACAAACCATAAAACTAAATAGATCATCTGAATTACAGCCTATTAATGTCCCCACTGCTGGGCCACAGGCGTTCCTATACATGAAATAGAAAGATTCCGAAGCATATTTTTAAGTACATAAAAATATGCTTATATTTTATGAACTCAATGAAAAGGAGAGACTGCTGTCAAATTCAGTTTTAAGTTTAAGGCTGTCTGTCCACTGGTGCGGAGCGAGGCTGCGGAGCGTAGAAATATTAACCAATAGGATTTGCACAAAATATCCGCATCTCTTCAGTAGATAGATTTTGTGCAATCCTATTGGTTAATATTTCTCCGTTTCTCCGACAGGCAGCCTTACAGCTGCACTTAGTGAAGTAATTGATTATGTCACTTCCTTTGCGATAATAATAAATTGAAACTACAAGTGACTCAATGAAATATGTATAAGATTAAATTTGACGTTTCTGCGTACGGTTGTAAGAGAATCAAGCCTTTGGTCAGAGGCTCAAGTACGAATTCCAGATCCGTAATCGGATCTTCATCGTCAAATTTTGTGTGGAAGGAGCCAGTTTGTTCTGACATCCGGTAGGGGCATTTTATCATTGAAACTTTGATAATGGGATGATGATGATGATGATAGTTCGTGCTTGGGCCTTAGAGCTCTGTGTACTTTTGCCCCTTCCTGCTAGACTCCTACTGGTAGGAGCACGAGAACACATTTATCATCAATCATCATCAGCCTATTAATATCCCCACTGTGGGAGACAGAACTTCCCTATGGATGGTATAGGAAGAATAAGGCATGATAACCTCGCGTTCAAAGTGAATTGGATTGGGAGTATATACAAACCACTACAGTAGCAGCCAGGGCAAACAGTTTGATGTACCTTCAATAACACGGAGCTAGAGATAATAACGAAGATTTTGGTCACTCATTCAATATCTAAAGGTATAGTCAAACGAGCGCAATCATTGAGTTAGGGGAGGCCGGGGCTGGAAGTTTCCGGGGTAAATTGTTCCGACAGTTATAACTTTGTAAAGGAAAAAGATATCAATACACGTGAAGTGCGTCGTACAACGTCGTCGTCGTTTGTAAAAAAAAAACTATTAAGATATCGGCAGAAATTACTGTACTATTAAAAATACCGATTAAGATTCTTTAATAGAATATCAAAAATAAAACTTATCCCTTTCAAAATATAATTCCATGTTATTTGAAAATCGGAACTTTCAGCCCCGGTCTCCCCCCCCCCCCACTTGTTCCTGAAAATAGAACGCGTAGAGGCAGAAACAGACTTATGAAACGCAACGCCACCCCACGCCACGAGACTAGTTTTTTCTTTAGCGCATCGCGTCGCGTCGGATGTCACTAATGTGATTCTGATCATAGAAAATAGTACCTACATTTTGATTTGACTCAACACACGTGACGTGGCGTGGCGTCGCGTATCATAAGCCTGTTTCGGCCATAATTCTCTTTCTAGGAAAACTATAATCATAACTTAATTTGCGCTCTGTTTGGCACGAAATTAAAAGAGGATTTTTTATATGAAACCGATTGCTGCTCGATTTAAACAAAAAACTTTCAGTGATTCATGATTCAAATAAATGTGTCATCTCTTGAGAGTGGGACTCTGGCAAATTACATCAAAACTTACTTATTTTTATGGTAGCACTTTACGTGGCTTTTCGAAATTGCTATTTGTTAACTTGCAAAACATTTTTCTTTTTCATTCCCTGCAGACTTTTAGGGCAGGGCAGGTGGGGCTGTGGCCCAGGGCCCTCCACGAGAGAGGAGCCCCACAACAGAGATAAAAAAGGAGCCAAGTGCGAATGGGACTCGCACATGAAGTGTTCCGTAGCAGCAAGTGACATAATAAATGTTTTTTTTTATTTGAGTTGATTGAATGAAAGGTAAATTGCTGTTTACGATTAATGACTTAAAAAAACTACTTACTAGATCGATCGAACCAATTTTCGATGGAAGTTTGCATGACATCATATTTTTTTTTTATTTTTATCATTCTTTTATTTTAGAAGTCACTAACCCCCACACGTATGATGAAAGTTTTATGGGGAACCCCCAAAATTTTTTGTATTTTTTTTCTATTTTTGTGTGATAATCTTAATGCGGTTCACAGAATACATCTACTTACCAAGTTTCAACAGACTAGTTCTTATAGTTTCTGAAAAAAGTGGCTGTAACATTGGGACGGACAGACAGAGACAGTTGCCATTTGGCTACGGAACTCAGTGTAGGGTTCCGTAGTTGCTCGTCGTCACCACAATATATTTTGGAAAGAGTATATGTATATAAGTATTTTGAACAAATAGGGTAGTGGCACCAATAAATGAACGATTAAGAGGTTTTTGCAACTTTGAATCCCTTTTCCTCGGCTTTTTTGAAACTATTGGCGCTTGCTGATATTTTTTATGATTCCAGATTATCCTCAAGATTTTAGTAATTTAAGAAAATAATTTCCTAGGCTACCAGTTTTTTGATAAAATAACTATTTGTGTAAAATTTGTGGTTTTACCCCTATACTTGAACGACGTGTCTTAATTATGAACGTTTAGAACCCAATAGTTGAATTAACATTTTGATTGGAATAGGATGCTATTTTATTTAATTTTTCAATTTCTGAATAAAAAGCATTATTTGCGAATAAATTCTTTTATCTCTTTATATTCAAAAATCACATTCTTTTCTATTAATATTTTTTGTCTTTGCGAGATCAATTGACTCGTTACATAAACTAATCAACTTTTAACAAAAAAAATATTATTTATACTAATTAATACACCTAAATATTACACAGTCTCAAGAAGTACCCGTATTAATTTTATTTAAGTACAATATTATTTACCCAATTATCGAATTAATCAACGAAGTAATACAATTAGAACCTAATAATTGAGATCACAATCACAACCTCACTAGTAAACTAAACAATTCCGGGGGCGTCCTAGTGAAGTGGCGCACGCTAAGGTGCGTCGATCCTGAGACGCCCCCATATGGGCGTAGGAGGGTACCGGGGGGTTTTAGTGGAGTAGGATCAGTGT